TTCTTTTTTTGTCTAATATAAATTATCTTACTATCATAACTTATTTCACACAAATTTTGAAGCAACCAGATGAATGTATATTTTTGCAACTTGCGAAATTTTACGAGATTACTATATTATGTATATAAGTATAGTTTATACATTTGTTTAGTTTATATGGAACACTGGGAGTTTTTGATAAATTTTTTATTAAACGTTCTTTCTTCATTGGCGAATCTTTAAGATTTGCACCGAGATTTTATCAGGAGTAATCGAAGCACAGAGATTATTAAGTAAGTACATATTAAAAAACTTCTAATAAATTTCGTCTTTTTTATGTACAATTACATAATTCTAAAGTTATACATTTTTTCTACTTTAATATAGAAAGGTGTGTTATTTTGTCACAAATTTCGTGGTAACAAAGAGTTAAATATCCCAGACTTTCAATGGATTTTGGAGCTGTTTGTTTTTGTGGACTTACTTAGTCACAAATACTTTTAACACTGACTCGATGATTTTCTTTATTTCTGCATTTGACCTTTTCGACTGAGCGAACAATGAACGGTTAACAACCCTCAGCATTCTTAAGATTATACGTTAGTTCTGTCTGATGGACTTTACTATTATTTGCATTATTCATTACAACTCTTTACTAATTTATTCACCCACTCTTAAGTTTATACGTTTTTGCTGAAAAAAAGGATAGGTTGTGAATGTAGAAATAAAAATAAGTTCGTCCAGTAATTCTTCTGATTTTGAACGAAAATAAGACTTCGGAATGAAAATTTTCTAAATCAATATTATAAGTTAATTGCAATGAAAGATTTTTAAGTTCTTCCCGCAAGTTCCAAAGAAGAAACAGCCGTGCATAAGCAACAACTACATTTGCGAATCTTCACAACTGTCACGTGTCACCGTCCTCGTCTGAATCACAATAGGACTTTAGCCTTCGAGAGGCAGAAAGCAAGCTTCAAACGCTATTTCCTTCCCTAGGAAGTCGCTTGTGGAACCGGTTCAACCTGTAAATTCCAAATTTAGGCCAGGAAGTCCAAGTTGAAGTTGAAACAACAAGAATTTGTACAAAACAAGACATTTGACCTGCAAATTCTAACATTACTTATTTTATTTATGATTGATTTTTGTCTAAATTTGTACAATTTGATGAGGTCCTCTATGGCACATTTGGTTCTTTCTATGAATGCCGTTCGTTCAAAAATTTCACCTTACGGGCAAATTCTTACAAGCTACTTTCGACGCCTTCGGACAGAGCGAGTACCGTTGTTAAATGTTGTTGTTCTCAAAGGAGGTCACATGACAGCAGAGCTTGTTTTTAAGTTTAGTTCAAAAACTTTTTTCATTCTCTCTCTCTTCTCTCTTTTGTGAATTTGTTTTCTTTTTTCCATAAAGCTTTGTTTCCAATAATACGGTAAGCCCTACTGTGATGACTGAACATAAATTTTACTGTTTATTTCTTCTGGCTTTACATTTGTAAAACTGTGTTCATTTCTCTTGCATATAAACCTTCTCTATTGAGTGGGTAAGATGAAGTTGGCCACATTTTTTGGCCGATCTATTTGCTCTCAATGGAACGTTGGATAAAAAAGTCCCTCCTTTTTGCCATTTTTCAATCTTTGCCACATTCGGCGTATATAGCCGAAGACCGTGGGTTCGAATCCCGCTCGTGACACTGCCTTTTTTTATCTCAAATAAAAACCTTAATTAATTGAAAGATATTACTTGGTCAAGCGGACTACGAAAACTAGTGAATTGAATAAAAAGTTTTATAGTTTGATAGCTACCCATCATGTTGCTCTGCTTATCGACGCTTATTTTATCAGTTATGTGATATTTACTGATAAAGTCAGCGTAGATAGCAACCCAAGATGATGAGTAGATGTCAAACCCCGTCGACCACAGGAGGAAATCTAACAAAAAGTTTTATATTTGTGTTATGCTTGTATAGGAACCCAGGGCAGTTTTGGAACAGATTTGACAGAAATATTTATTCTTTCTAAAAACCTTAATATATTTCAAGTGCAATAGAATAACAGGGGTAGAATAGGTATTTCAAAATTCCAATTGATTTGTGAACTTTACAGTTTTTTAAGGTTTTTGTCGGGCTATAAACATCTTTCTAATTATTTCTGCTGTCATTACTTGTAATCTCGTGTGTCATTTCCCTTGCCTATAAACATATTTCTTTGGTGAGTGGTTACGAGTTGGTCACATTTTTTTTACAATCGCTCTTTCGGTACACAGTTTTCGATAAAAAGGTTATATTTATTTTTTGTATTTGTGCAAAAACCTTGGACAGTTTTGTAACCAATTTTACATGAAACTTTGCTTTATCTAGTAAAAAAACTTTAATATAATTGGGCAAATTTTTCAGGAGCAATAGAAAGACAGAGGACGTTAAGTATCTCAGAGTTCCTACGGATTTCTGAACTTTGCTGTTTTTAAAGTTTTTATCGGACTAATATAATGTTAAGATGATTCATTTCATCCGACGCGTTAATAATTACATGGATTTTTTCCTTTTTATGTAAATACTTAAATTCGCTTACAAGCGTAATACTACATATATCACAGAAGAAAAATTTAAGGGTTTGATTTTTAAGTAACTAAGATGATGAGTAGATGCCAAACTATAGGTTCATCACCCCATCGACCACTCGACCACAATCACTCTTTCGGTACACAATGTTGGATAAAAAGTTTATATTTATTTTTTGTATTTGTATAAAAACCTTGGACAGTTTTGTAAACAATTTTAGCGAAACTTTGCTTTATCTATTAAAAAAAAACTGTAATATATCTTGGAAAATTTTTCAGGAGCAATAGAAGGACAGAGGATGTTAAGTATCTCAGAGTTCCGACGGATTTCTGTACTTTACTGTTTTTTAAGGTTTTTGTCGGGCTATAAATATCTTTCTAATTATTTCTGCTGTCATTACTTGTAATCTCGTGTGACATTTCCCTTGCCTATAAACCTATTTCTTTGGTGAGGGTTACGAGTTGGTCACATTTTTTTTATAATCGCTCTTTGGTACACAGTGTTCGATAAAAAGGTAATTATTTTTTGTATTTGTACAAAAACCTTGGACAGTTTTCTAAACAATTTTACATGAAACTGTACTCTATCTATTTAAAAAAGCTGTAATATATCTTGAAAAATTTTTCAGGAGCAATAGAAGGACAGAGGATATTAAGTATCTTAGAGTTCGACGGATTTCTGAACTTTGCTGTTTTTAAGGTTTTTATAGGACTGACATAATGTTAAGATGATTCATTTCATCCGACGCGTTAATAATTACATGGATTTTTTCCTTTTTATGTAAATTCATAAATTCGCTTAGAAGCGTAATACTACATATTTCACAGAAGAAAAATTTAAGGATTTGATTTTGAAGTAACCTCTCTTTTGAAAAATACAGTAATCCCTGCTGTGATGACAATATAAATCATACTTACTTAATCTTTTTATGTAAGGTTTTCGTTGAAATGGAAAAGTTAGTATCACGAGCGGGATTCAAACCCCCCAACCTCAGCTAAATACGCCGCTGATCTAACCACTTGAGCTATCGTGTCTTCGATCCACTCTTACACCGATGTCGGAAAAATGGCAAAAAGAGGGAAAATTCGAAAGGCTGTAGGTTGAGATGGGGAGTTGGTGAGTGGTGACCGAGTGGATCGAAGTGACGATAGCGCAAGTGGTTAGAGCAGCGGCGTATTTAGCTGAAGGTCATGGGTTCGAATCCCGCTCGTGTCACTAATTTTTCACTTCAACCAAGACCTTAATAAATTGAAAAGAATTATGAAAAAAGGTTATTGGTTATTCTAGATAAATCTGCAAGTTGATTGTTTCCTCTTATCCTGGTCTTCCCATTCTCGCTTATTGTCTTATATTTATATCATTTTATATCTTTATGTCGCTTGTATCTTTACTGGTTACTCAGCATATTTTTACAAAGAATAATTAATTGAAATAAGTAATTTGGTCAATAGACCACTAAATATAATGGATTTAATAAATCGTATTATTTCTACTGTTTTTCTACGTGTCATCGACTTAACTTGCAGATGTATTTCTTTTGGTAGTTATGTATAACGGTGATGATTTGGCCCTTGAAACAGATCGATGGTCCGGCCAAGAGGTTTTCTCGTCGCTATTCTAATTTAAGGAATTTTTCTATGTAAATTTTTGTTTTCGGTTCGAAAGGGCGTCCATGTATAATTAGGACGTTCACCCTGGAGCTCTGTCACAGTTCTATTATTAGGACGTTTTAATAGGTCTCTTCCGAATGAATTGATAATGAACACTCGAATAATGAACTGAGCGATGTACAATTAACAAGATTGTTCAATTTCCGATCAAGAAAATTTACCGGTGGGCTGTGATTTCGCAAAATGTCAACCGTTAATTATCTCAGTTAATAACAGAATTAAAAAACGGGAATCAAAGATGTGGAATATTTCGTTTTACGAGGATTATTATTCCCTGTTTCTTTTTTTTTTTAAGTTTAACAAAATCGATTTCTTTTTGCATTTGTACAATTCATTCGACATTGAACGTATTGAACTTTTGAAATCGTTGATTATTCAATAGGGGTCTCATTACAATAGGTGTGTTAATAACCTGGATACATTTATGTCATAATATTCTCGGAATGATTTTGTTCTAGAAAACAATGGCAGGAATTGTAAAAAAAAAACTCCAAAAAGTTTCGGTTTGTTTCATGTGTGTTTTACCTGAATCTAAAGCGAGTCGTTCATTCCGGCTCAGAGAATGATATGTGTGAACGTTTTTTGACGAGGGGGTCAGGATTAACATTGATACAACACGAAAAGCCACCGGCGATACGGCGTGAATGTCAAATGGCCGCGTCGGCGGCATACAAACCCGCCTGTATAAGAGCCCTTTTTACACTTGACCTATACAGCTCACTTCTTTCCCATTTCTCAAAATATTAATCCTTTCTATTTTATATAAACAATTCTGTTTTTGGTTTGACATATAGGTGTGCGAAATAATTAGCCACGAAGAACCAAAGGGACTTATTTCGAACATGTTCAACAGAAGAACAACGACCATAACACCTTTGGTGGAGAGAAGAATCTGCGATTGTAGTAAGTATGGAACAAACATTGGAGAAAACAAAAATTTAATTTATAAACAATATTAATGTAAATAATGACGTGTGTGGTGATTAGTGACCGTTAATCGGTAATTATTCAGAAATCGTGAGAAGAAGAGAGATGGCCCTGAAGATGATCTCAATAAAGATCGAAACGTTGGCACGATAAAGAAAATGTTTTTCTGAAACCTATCACACCAGACCGCATCTCATGATTTCTGAATAATTAGTAAATAATGACTTTCCGTTTCATTGTTTCTTTTTAATTAAATTTCTTTATTAAAACTGGTATAATTAGACCAACCATTAATTTTACAATAATATATAGAATAAATAAATGTTTACATTCTAATAAAACCATTTGTACAATAAGATTTACTAAATCCATTAGATTTCGTGGTCCGATTGACCAAATAACTTATTTCAATTAATTAATATTTATGTAAGGTATTTTTTGAGATAAAAAAGTCAGTGTCACGAGCGGGATTCGAACCCACGATCTTCGGTTAGATACGCCGCTGCTCTACCACTTGAGCTATCGTGACTTCGATCCACTCGGACACCAACTTCCAATCTCAACCCACCTTTCGAATTTTCCTTCCTTTTTGTTATTTTTCAAATTTCGTGTCATCTATTCGATTCTCGGCGACAAATGAAATGGCCACGGAGAGGTTTAGTCTTCACTAAATATACTTCTAACTAAATATACTTCATTTTACTTATTAAAGCCATTAAATTTCGTTGTTACTTCTGGCGTCGTTGGTGGTGAAATCGGACCGGTTGCTTCTTGAATTTGCCATAGAATTTCCTTTTGTAAAAGGTTTTTCGACATTTCAAACAGCACATAAAAGAAACGGAAGGGCAAAACGACGCTTGGAAATAAGAACCCTTAAACGCAGACTCTGTCTGGACGGAAAAAAGCAAAACTAGGATTAAAAGCGGAAGTTAGATTTCCTCGAGAGGGCGAAAAAGAAGGGGAAGAAACGAAATGCAGTTCAAAAAAGAGAAAAACTGAGGTCAATCTCCCAGGACCTCAATCTTACGACTTTTCTTACAAAAACATTTGCTCGACAAGGAAAAGAACGGAACTTCGCTAAAATTATTATAGCGTTATGTCCAAGAAAAAATGTACTACAAAATTAGCAAATGTATACTTTTTTCAGAGCTCTCTTTGAGCCAGGTCCACGAAGTCAGAATTGGTTTTATCTTCCCATACTATATGATCTCGGATACATCCTTAACAACATCCCATAAAGTTTTAACAGGTTATAACGGAGAAGAATAAATCAGGAGAAAATCAATTACAATATGGTATACAGGTGGCCACAAAACACTCACCATCAGGCATTTTCTGGCCAATCCGAGCAATCAAACTCATTCAGGAGGTACACCTGTCTTTCAAGTTAAAATAAATGCTATAAATGCTTGTTCCATAGAAAATACAAAGCATCCTGGTACGATGAGGCAACGAAACAGTCCTAAAAGCATTAGTACGTAAAAATAGATAGTGAATGCATCCAAAATCTCCAAAACCTGAGAAAACAATAAAAAATACACAATAGACAAGAACGAACGAAAACCTTTTCACCAATAAATCATAATTACAACCCTTTAACACTAACAGACGTATAAAAATAAAGGTGATAGCACACTGACCTTCCATTGAATAAATTAAAATATATAACAAAAAAAATGGTCAAACAAGCTGAGATACAAAAATAATACAAATACAGCCCTTCACATTTATAAAACTTGTTGTCATGTCAGTACACAACTGAGAGAATAATATGCTGAGCAAGCACTAAAGATACAAGCATATAAACAACATATAAAATGATATAAATATAAGGCAAGAAGCGAGAATGGGAAGACCAGGATAAGAGGAAACAATCAACTTGCAGATTTATCTAGAATAACCTTTTTTTCATAATTCTTTTCAGTTTATTAAGGTTTTGGTCGAGATAAAAAAGTCGGTGTCACAAGCGGGATTCGAACCCACGACCTTCGGCTAAATACGCCGCTGCTCTACCACTTGAGCAATCGTGACTTCGTTCCACTCGGACACTAACTTCCCATCTAAATCCCACCTTTTGAATTTTCCCTCCTTTTCGCCATTTTTCAAAATGGTCACGACTGACGAAATAACACGCAGACTAACCACTAAACAAATGTTTAAAAGGAGAAACAGTCTGACTGAAAATCAGCAAGAAGCAGAAAAGGTTGATTGGGGCTTTCCAGCTACAGATTCACATACCACACTTTCTCTATTAGTCATAACAAATTGTTGACACAATTACTTTAATGACTAAATATTGTTTAAAAATAGAGTCATAATTGACAGATCAAACAAGGTAGACAAAAACCATAGAAAAAACTTCAGGCAATCTTGGGTTCAGTTAGTTATTTTAGAAAGATTTTACCCTAATTACTTCTAAAACGTATTATTGTCCAGTGTAACATACAACCTAAAATTTAATCAAATCCAGTAAAAAATTGTTTTTTGTTGGTTACTTTGTAAATAAAATATCTACTAAATATGCTTTAATAAAAGCAGTAGCGGCCGCAACGGTTTAGGCGTTGGCACGACGCTCATCACTGTAAGGTAAAGGTCCCGGGTTCGAATCCAGCGGCCCTGTTTTCGAACCCGACATACTTAAAATGGGCTTTTTTTGAAAAACATCGGCACACTGAGGGGTTGGTATGATCTCTGATGTTGCCAACCCTCGCAGAAAAACTAAAGTAAAAAAAATAAATAAAAGTGGTATGAAGGAGCTAGTTGAAACACAACTAATTCTCTGGAATAGTTTTTTCCATCAATTGCTTTAGGATAATTTATTTTAACTAATAAAATTGTACAACAGCTTAAAGTTGTATAGTTTAAAGGTTTTGATCGATACAATGAAACAGTCTACAAACAATCAGATCATCAAATATTTTCTGACGTTTTCAGAAAAATGAAATTTACAATTTTGCTTCGCTGTCTGGAAATGTTTGTGCCCGAAAATTCCCAACTCGAGAAGATAAAGGATTTTGGATAAAGGAGAGTCAATATCAGGAAGGCAAGAGGACGTTTACAAAAGTGGTGAACGTTAATGTGGCTTGCATTAGCACCATGGCTCGAAGCAGAAAGGACCTCCCCGATGTTTTACGTCCCGACATAAAAACGAGTCTACGACCGGCCGTAAACTTGAGACCTTCTTCCCATTGAAAAGTCCATTCCTTTGTCTGGGAGAATCTCAGCTACTCTCACCTTCACCGATTAGTTTAAATTGTTCCAATTTTTAAAGCATTTTCCCTTTAATGCAAATGGAAAAATGTACGTTTTCTTCAGCTGAGAGCAGTAACTAGCAAATTCAAAAAGGCCAGACAAATCTTGCATATTTTCAAACGATCTGTAAAGTAGTTGGAAGTAAACTTGTAAATCTCACAAGCGTGGAAGTGGACCTTGTGCAAAACCATACGTTTTAAAGAATAAATGCATCAACAAGACAACACACTTTGATGAAAAGAAAATCTTGTTTGTTCTATTTTCGCTGATTTTGTCTGTTTTTTCGTTCCTATCTTTTCAACCCTAAGCAACTCGCTATCGCTCTTGTTATTGTTGTCTGTTCACGCTGATTGCCGTTTTGTTGGCATTTTGAGTTTTATATCTGGTCTAAAATAAATAGTGATACACCTACAGCATATATAAAACAATATACTTAAATTAGCTTTTAGAAGAGGCTGAAGTGGATTTACGTTGTCTGTTTCCAGTCATTGCTGTTTTCTTAGCATTTTCTTCCTTAGTGATCATAATAGTTTTCTTAATATTATACGCAAGCCCTCGTTGGCATATGATGACTTTCTGTCCGTTTAAGCTGTCTCCCTTTCCAATGGCCTTACCTCCTCCTTCCAATTAAAATCTGGGGTGCCCCACGCTCTAGCATCTCTCCTATACTTTTTTCCATTTATAGTGCCCGACTCCATGCAGCCCTGTAACTGCCACCTACACGCCGATGACTCCCAAATATATCTTTCCACCCTTCCGATCTTCACTCGGCTATTCTCAAGGTCCAAATTCCATCAACGAATGGACCCATAAATATTCCCTCGTCCTTAATCTGTCCAAATCCACCGCCATGATTATTGGGTCCAGGCAACTCCTTAATTCCGTTTCCAGCATTCCGCCTCCCATGCTAAATAACCATTCCATTCCCTTTTGCTGCTCGGTTAAAAACCAAAAACTTTCCTGGCTTCCTCACATTTCCCAAATTTCCCGTCATTGTATCGCCTCCCTCAGCCTATTTCGTCGGTCCAAAGTTCCCTTCTTCGCTTATAGCTGCGTGGCATACGGTGGTCTCTCGGAAGAGGGGAACACGCGATTAGGCGTAGTATGAACTGTTGCGTAAGATTCGTGTTCGGCACCTCGGGATCCCGGGTGTCGGCGTTGTATTCCCAACTTTCCTGGCTCTACCCCTCCTTCCGTGCACAGTATAGCCTAGGTTGCTTCCTTTTCCAGTCCATCCACACTCGTCGTCCTTCTTTCATTTCTACACCCAAACCCTCCAATGCAACTCCTCACATCACACTCGTAACACCTGCTCATCCCGAATTGACGTCATCCTTCCCCAAAATTCAACCCATACCTCCGAAAGATCCTTTCTAATCCGAGTCCCTAAAATCTGGAACTCGCTTCCCCTTTCTATCTGTCACGCCTCCTCCTTTTCCTCGTTTAAATCCCACCTGTATTATCACCTCCTCTTCCTCTAAGAGGCTTAACGTTAATGTTTGATTTTTTTAATATTCCTGTTACTTTTTCTATTGCTTGCCTTATTTGTATACATTGTGCCAAGATTTTTATTTAATTGATTTTTAATTTCATAGAAGGAACTTCTTTTATTTATTTCATGTATATTATTCTTAGGGGAAACCTGCCCCAGAATAAAGACATTTTTCTTCTTCTTCTTGTTTTCTTAGTATTGTGCACAAGCCCTAGTGGCACTTGAGTTGGTTTAGAACTTTAGATAATCTCGTATAAAGCAAAACCCTTTAGTGATAAAATAAATTAATTATTATAGAAAAAAAGATGAAATGAAGAGGGTAGGTATGGCAGAAATTCTAAATGTGATAGGAGTTAGGAAGGGCATAACCATTCACACTAATGTCTGTCTTTCGGAGGTCGGACTATTTTGGTTTTTATTCTTATGTATAAAATTAATGAAAACTTTCATGTGCGTTAGCATGTGGGGAAAGGAACGACGCGAGCCGAATCGTAGGGGGCGAAGCGACATTGAGCAACGAGTTCCCGTGGATGGTCCGTCTCTCCTATTTCAACAGATTCTACTGCGGCGGGATGCTCATAAACGACAGATACGTCCTAACAGCCGCTCACTGCGTACGAGGGTAAATTTCAGTCACTTATCTCTTTTCCGGTGATTTCGCACTGATTCCGACCGTTGACGAGCAGATTCATCTGGTTCATGATAAAGGTGACGCTAGGAGAACACGACAGATGCGACAAAACGAAGAAGCCCGAGACGAGATTCGTGATACGGGCGTTTTCAGGCGATTTCACCTTCCTCAATTTCGACAACGACATAGCCATCCTGAGATTGAACGACAGGGTTCCCGTCAATACGGAAGTCATACGCCCTATTTGCCTCCCCAGCACTACAGGTACTGGAATTTTGTACTGAAAAATATGAAATAACCAATCATAGATGTTTACAGAAGAGACCTACGAGGGCACGAAAGCTATAGCTACAGGATGGGGTACGCTAAGGGAAGATGGACAGCCATCCTGTCTTCTCCAGGAAGTCGAAGTACCCGTCATGAACAACGCTGACTGCAGGACCAACACAAGCTACACCCCAACGATGATATCTGACAACATGATGTGTGCAGGATACGACGTAGGACTGAAGGATTCTTGCCAGGCACGACATTATTCATGACAATTTTTTTCTTTAGGATTGATTTATTACCAGACCGATCAAAATCTTTAAAAGGGTTAAAATCTATGTCAAATATCAACGCCAATTTTTGTTTGTGCAGGGTGACAGCGGTGGCCCATTGATAAAGGAACGAGAGGACGGCAGATTTGAACTCATAGGTAAATCTTAAAATTGTTTGTATTGATTATCTGTTAAATACGAAAGTTTTTTTTTCAAAGATAATTAGGTGGTTATTTATATTAAAACAAAAAGAAAAACTCGAACACCTTTAATTTTTAATCAGCTTTCAAGAGGTCAAATATTGGTTAATGGTATAAGCCATTAATACATATTGAAATAATCCTGACGGAACAGTGAAGCCTGTTTTAAAGTATGGAGGCGTAACTAGGCAAAACTAACGGTAATCAAGCGGTAGTTCAAGCGCCCATTATGGCAACTTATGGACATTATGAAGTAAGTAACTGCATCAACTTCTACAGTCCACCCATTTAATTCGGAAACGACTAACGTTAGCAAAAGAAGATCTCATACAAAGCCCAAGTTAATTTTGGCTAGGAATCGCATGGTGGTAAATGATTCAACATAACTTTCTCATCGAGTTGGGAAATGACACTACCATTGTTATTTTAAATAGATAATCTCATATGTTTATTGTACAATTCGATTTTGGAGCTTATGTTATGTTACTTTTACTGAAAGGAAAATTTTGACAGGATCGACTATTTCTGAGTTAAGCCAGAAGGAAGATGCATGAGGGGGTATGCTTCGTGAAACAGCAAGATGCCCGCTTTATTTCCAAAACGAATAACTTTGGCAAAAAATGATCCTATTCAAACTTCAAGTTAATTTTGGCTAAGAATCCCGTGAGTTAACAGATTTGACATAACTTCCTCATCTATCTGGTAAATGACGCTAGCTTTGTTATTTTAAATAAAAATCCCATATTTTGTTGTATAATTCGAATCTAGAGCTTATTTTATGTTAGTTTTACTGAGAGAAAATTTATGACAAGATTGACCATTTCTGAGTGATACCATACGGAAGACGCGCGAGGGGGTATGCTTTTTCTAACAATATGCCCCCCTTTATTCCCAAACCGATTAACTTTGGCAAAAAAAGTCTTATACAAATCCCAAGTTAATTTTGTTAGGAATCGCGTGGGGTAACCAATTTGGCATAACTTTCTCATCTAGCTGAGAAATGACACTAACTTTCCTATTTTAAAGAGAATCCCATATTTTTATTGTACAGTTCGATTCTGGAGCTTATTTTATACCGCTTTTACTGAAAGGAAAATGTTGACAAGATCGACCATTTCTGAGGTATGCCAGACAGAAGACGCGTGAGTGAGTATGCTTTTTAAAACAATATGGCCCACTCCCTTTATTCTCAAAACGATTAACTTTACCAAAAAATGATTTTATACAAACCCAAGTTAATTTTGCCTAAGAATCGCGTGGGGTACAGATTTAACATAATTTTCTCATCTAGCTGGGAAATGGCACTAACTTTCCTATTTTAAACGAGAACCCCATATTTTTATTGTACAGCTCGATTTTGGAGCTTATTTTATGCCACTTTTTCTGCAAGGAAAATGTTGACAAGATCGACCATTTCTGAGGTATGCCAGACGGAAGATGCGTGAGAGTAGCTTTTTAAAATAATTTGGCCCACCCCCCTTTATTCCCAAAACGTAACTTTAGCACACAAAAAAATCTAATACAAACCCCAAGTTAATTTTGGCTAAGAATCGCGTGGGGTAAACAGATTTAACCTAACTTTTTCATCAACCTGGGAAATGATACTAACTTTGTTATTTTAAATAAAAATATCATATTTTTATTGTACAGTTCGATTCTAGAGCTTATTTTACGTTAATTTTACTGAAAGTGATTTGACAAGATCGTCCATTTCTGAGTTATGCCCGACGGAAGACACTATGCTTTTATGCTACGCATGCTTTTTGTAACAAGATGGCCCTCCCCGTTTAAGATTTAAAATGCAGGGTTTTTATGCTGTGGCTTTTTCGCAGGGAGCATATTTGAGCATTTAATATAAACGAACATTTTGAATAAATGGTCAAATCTGCAACAATTCATAATAACAGCTGAGAGTATTTTTAAAAATAAAATGGACTCGATGATGATAAAAAAATCCTTGTTTGTAAAAAGAGTTCTTATTTTTAAATTAATATAAGCTAAGCGTAAAAGTAACCCCGTGATCCCTACTCTGAGACGATTCCTATCCGAAATTAACGTATATATAAAATTTAATTATTGTTTTTCTAAGGATTATTACAGAATCATTGTCCGTAATGACAGAACTGATTATTTCACGCCGTTTGTGTTACGGTTGGACAGTCTATCTGAGCCGCCGTGAGATCCCCTTCCGCATCGGACAAATTATACACGGATATACGAGTATGTGCACGGGAAAATTATTCTCGTCGAGCAATTCCCTATCGAATTATGAGTTAACCCATCCATAAACACAGATACGCGATACGGAGAGATAGAAAAAAAACATTGCGATAATGAAATACTGGATAAAAGGGTTTTTACAATAAAATTTAAAGTCAGAGATGGCCAAATAATACTTTCTTATTAGGATACCGTAAGCGCCATGTGATGAAGTATTTTTACGGGATTTGGATTGCTTCATTTTCTGTTTAAAAAAATTATATATCGTCTATTCTTGTTTTTAGGTTTTGGCATTCGGCTATATTGAGTAACTGGCCAGTGCGTTTTTTTGACTTTCATATTTAGCCTAAATCGGTGGAGCGACTTTCAAGCTTTTGGTGGTGGTCATTTTCATGGATTGACCTGTGCATTTTTCTGACGTGTTTGTCCTTTAGTCTAGCTTAATCGATCACATATGATTATCTAAGATCTTGGAAGCACAGGAGGATAAAACATATTTTATCCTCCTGAATCTTCTCGCTGTTTTGTCTTGTTTTGTCTAAAATTCTTATTCATAAGCGTACTCACTTAACTATCTGTTACTTAATAACTTATAAAATTATTTATCCACTAACTTACTGATTTGTTAATTTATTGAACTGTTAATTTGTTAAATTGTCATTTTATTACTAATTCGTTAAACAAACTTATTTACTTATTTATTTTAAATTAAATATTTCGCTGTTTATACTATATCAGACCAACTGATTAAATTAATTATTTATTTTGCTAACATATGTATATATTATAACTGTTAGTTTTTGATAAAATTAATTAGTAGTTTTCCCAGTTCTGAACAATACCGTAATGATTTTGTTAATGAAAGGATTTGGTAATGTAAAGGTAAATGAGTTTTTTCGCGAAAATTTTCTACCAACATCGACAAACATGTTTTTCAGGAGGTACGGTAAACAAATGGAGATATGCTAAAGAAGACGCATAGGGCCCCGCCATTTTCCCTCAAAAATATATTTGTACCCAAATTATTTATTGTTAGAAAATGCCATGTCAAATAAATTCAATTCGTCTCACTTGATCGATAGATTTCCAAATTTCTAGTACAAGGTGCATCCTGATCTGTATTTAGTCGGTTAGTTGCGTTTAGGCTTTTTATCATTTTCTATTATTTGGCCGTGGGTTTATCAGATTTGTATGTTTTTTAGTTTAGCTAAATAGGTCGATAGAATTCCACACTTTTAGTCGAAAGGATATCCTGCTCAGTCTAGCATCGATTTTTAGTCTGGCAAACCATATTTCGCTTTATTTCATCTTTAGTTGTCGACCAGCTTTTGGCCATGCTAAACAGGTCGAGACATTTCATCTTCAATAATTGCTTTGTGAGTTTTTCTGGCATACGTGTGCTTTACTCTAGCTAAATATGCCAATAGAATTACCGACTTTGTTGAAAGAGAATCCTCTTCGTTCTATTATCTCTGATTTTGTCTGTTTCCAGCACGTTTCGATATTTTCCTCTTTCCGAGGTTTGACTGTGCGTTTTTCTGTTGTGCATGTCCTTTAGCCAAGTTAAATAGATCGTTATAGTGAAAAGCTTAAGCTGAAAAATGTATCTTGGTCTTTTGAACTCGTTCCTAATTGGTACGCGCGATTTTCAAGTGTGCATTTCCTTTAGCCATTTTCAGAGGTTTGCCCGTGCGTTTTCTATTGCTTATGTCTAGTTAAATATGACGTTAGAATTAAGACCTTAAGGTGAAAAGTGTATCAGAGATGTCTCGTATCGCTAACTGTGTCGACATATGCAATTAGGCATTTTATCAACTTTAGTGATTGGTCTGTGCGTTTTTCTAGTCATGTATTTGGTAAAATCTACTTGTACAAATTAATTAAATTAGCGTTGAAATTTTTGGAAATTTGGATTTTACCCTGTGATTTTTTTTAGGTGTCGTTTCTTGGGGTAACGGATGCGCCCGCCCTGGTTCCCCTGGAGTGTACACGAGGGTAGCACGATATTTAGATTGGATTAACAAACACGCAGCAGATGGTTGTTTTTGTGTTGATTAGGTTGTTTCAACCTTTAGTTCCTTATGTTTAAGTATTCTTATATAAAAAATATTTCACTGTTTAAATAATTATGTTTGTATTTGAATCCCTTCCTATGAAACCTTTGCAAATATATACACTGAGGAGTAAGTAAAAAGTTTTAAAAAAACATGATAATAATAAAATTGTGTATCTCTTCGAGAAGGTTAAGCGAAGAAGAGCTTCTAGAAAAATGAGCACCAAATTGCCAACATTTTTTTTTTTTTGTTAAAGTGAATATTTCATGGCGGGGTTGCACTGGGGAGATCCCAGGCGTGCTTTTTTTACAATGTAATCCTTTTAGCTGGATGAACCAAGCATCAAACAATGCAAGGACCATATTTGTAAAATTCATTTTATCTAAATCGATTAAATAAACTGCGCAAAAGTGAATAGATTATAATACGTTCATTATACTTTTTTTTTAAATTGTATAATGAAAACAGGTTTTTAATTAAAAACATGAACACCGCATTTTCGTGGCAATAACATTTTTTATAATTGAAGTTCGAGTTGGTTATTTTTTACAAGGACTTTATTAACATAAAATTAAGAACTTGCGCCTTCCAACCCGAAGAGACAGAGGGTGGAAACTTTTCCCCAAAATGAAATTTCAAATTTTTGAACGAAATTTGGTTGTTCCTATCGTAACGTCTATCGTAAATTTTAGTTATTTTAAACATAACTAAAATTAAACTAAACTAACTTTAAACATTGTCAGCGAATTATAAACTTTCTTGAGTCTTGTTACATAAAAGTTTTCAATAGTGTTTCGCTTTGTACTATGTTTCAAGATTTTTCTTTATGTTTATATTGGTCTGTATCCGAGAGCGATTATGAAAGTAAGGGTGTTCGTGTGTGTGAGAGAGACAGAGAGAGAGAAAGATCGAGTGAGAGGTAAAGAAAGAGAGAGAAGAAGTGAGAAGAAATAAAGGAGAGCTTCGGAGAGTGTGAGAGGTACATAGATAGATAGTTGGGTACAGAGTGAGAAAGAGTAGAAAAGAAAGAGAGAGAGAGAAGGAAAGAGAGAGAAGAAGTGAGAAGAACTAAAGAGATTTTCGGGGAGAGTGAGAGGTAGATAGATAGTCAGATAGATATTTGGGTAGAGAGCGAGAGAGAGAAGGAAAGAGAGAAAGTGATAGTGAAAATAGGTGAAAAGAGAGAAAAAGTGAGGTAGATAGAAAGAGAAAGAGAGATCGTATTGAATGTGTGAAAGAAAGAGATATATCGGGTGTGAAAGAAGGAAAGACAGAGAGAAAGAAAGAGAGCGAGAGAGAGAAGAAAAAAAAGGGAGTGAGAGAGAAAAATATGTGGAAAGAGAGAAAAAGTGAGGTAGAAAGAAAGAGATAGAGAGATCGTAAGAGGGATTAAGTGTGTGAAAGAGAAGTGAGATATCGAGTGTGAGAGAAAGAATGATAGCGAGAAAGAGAAGGAAAAAGAGAGAGTGAGGGAGAGAGAAAGATCGAGTGAGCGGGATAGAAAGAGAGAGAGGAGTAAGAAGAAATAAAGGCCAACTTCGGAGAGAGTAGAGGTAGATAGATAGTCAGATAGATATTTGTGTAGAGAGCGAGAAAGAAAAGAAAAAACAGAGAGAGAGAGAGAGATTGAGTGAGGAGTGAGAGGGAAATAAAGAATGAGGAGGAGTGAGAAGAAATAAAGAGATCTTCGGAGAGAGTGAGAGGTAGATAGATAGTCGATCGATATTTGGGTAGAGAGCGAAAGAGAGATAAGGAAAGAGAGAAAGTAAGAGAGAAAAATAGGTGGGAAGAGAGAAAAAGTGAGGTAGAAAGAAAGAGAAAGAGAGATCGTAAGAGGGATTACTTAATGAATGATTCTTAACACTTGTGTGGAAGAAAGAGAGGTATCTAGTGTGAGAGAATGAAAGGCAGTGAGAAAAAAAGAGAGCAAGAGAGAGAATGAGAGCTAAGGAGAAAGTAAGAGATAACGAAATAGATAGTTGGGTATTGAGGGAGAGGAGAGACTTAGAGCGAGAGGTATATAGATTAATTTGATAGATGGGTAGCGAGGGATATAGAAATAGACAGATCGAAAAAGAGAAACTGAGAGAAAGAAAAAACAGAGCGAAAGAGGGGGAAAGCTTGTGGCGTGGAGAGAGAGATAGACAGAGAGATTAGATGAAGAAAGAGAGTGAAAGGATCTAGATATTTAGATTAATAGACAAATAGATAGATATGTGGATAGAGGGGTATATAGATGAATAGATAAATTGTTAGATAAATAGAGATGTAGACAAAGAGGAAGAGAGAGAGAGATTTAGAAAGGGAAAGAGAGTGTGAGAGAGAGAAGGGATCAGATCGAAAATAATTTCATAAATCTTTACATTTTTCGTGCAATATTTATCTAACCTTTCTACGTGGATCCGCCGATTGGCATTATTTATTTTTCTATAATTTTTCATTTGTTACACTTATCAGTAATATAACATCATTTGTTATCTATGTATCAATCTTGTGGCTCCATTCTGAAATTTAAGGATTAATTTCCATAAAAGATAAATGAAGTAATGAGATAACTAAAGTTCACCACACTAATCGAATTGTTCCGCCAATGCCAATTTGCTAGCGTCGTCTTCGCTGTTCAATAGTGGTTAGACGGATCGATATCTAAGCATCATATGACAGTATGATGTATGTCAAAGGAGATACATTATCGGGATCAAACGATACCTTTGTGTTTAACGCAAATACAATTTAAGTGCCACTTGCTCCGATTGCCGTTAAATTGGCACCCTGCGAGTGTTGAATTTCTGTGGAAGTGAATGTCACTTTTTTTCAATAAGTTGATTATAAATGAAATTAATTTTCAATCGGTATAAGTTTACTTTGTGGTGTTGTGTATTTGTAAAAAAGGAGAAAAAAGATAATGCCTTGTTTTAAAATTGTCCAATTTTTTATTAAATATGAAGGTTGACTGCTCTACAAAATAATATATTATCGATAATAATTTATTTATTTATATTCAGTTTAAACAAAAAATAGAAAAGAGTGAAAAAAATCGTGCATTACGAATGTTGTATAACATAAAATGAGGAAATTATGTGAATCTAGGATGCATAGAAGCAGAAATTGCCTACTATTCCATAACGTTCTCATTAAATATGCATTAGTGTCTTGGGATGGACTTCAACAAGTCTTACTGGATAGACGTAGGCATCCGTCTTGGATTTTGATTACATTTGTGATTGGCTATCAACCCAATGCATAATCTTATCAAACTAGGCTCGCCTTTCTCCCATTTCCAGACGTCCGTGAGGTAAAACTAATAAAACCGATAATTAACATTGATTTGTATGATACACAACAAGGATTTGTGGCTTTTACGCCATTTATAATAAAAAACGAGAAGTTTGGATTTGTATAACATTTTTTGATCCAAGGCCGACAACACTTTTATAACAACTAAAATTCATAAAACATTTCTTCTCGAAAGTTTGTTTGTGTACAATCCAGTGAATTAATTGAAAACAGGCCCGAACAAAGAGATCCATGTCTATATACCTTTTTTTGACATGAATCCATGTCTCCATGTCATCCATGAATGACGGGAATCCGATAGCTTGGTCATTGGCAAAATACTGCTACACACTCGATACACAATCACACCAATAAATACATTCATACCTATATCCATTGATCGCACTCATACTATTTGGTAGATGGAATATTCGATATTCCTCCATCTGCCTGTTCACTACAATAAACTACTCTAATTTTGGGTCGATGGGTATTTTAAAATTTTCCTCCGTAGACCCAAGTCACGCACGCAAAATGAGGGGCGATGGACATGCTACGTCACAATCAGCCCCTCCCCATTCACCCCAATAAATTCATTCACTCACACAAGACACAGAAACACAGAACACATAACTTAACTTCTATATACAATAAAAAAATTACCGATTCCCTTAAAAAACGGAATAGGAGACTCTGAAACTCGCTGCTGTGTCCAGAACCATCTTTAAATCTGACGGTATGCTATTCGCGCCCTGTAGGGAGCCAAGGCACGACATGCTTCGTCTATCGGGGACGCATCGAGCAACCTTTCTCTACATAACGGAAACGTGCGGGGGGTTGGTCCACCAGCAAGTGCCCATGGGTCAACCAAGTATGACCTATTCTTAATTTACTAAGAACTATTCCTTCTTTACGGCTCAGATCCTCGGGGGGCCATCTGCAGGTCGTGCACTTAATAAATATTTATTGTTTTTCTATTGTCGTATTTGTAAATAGGCATATATCAAAAAGATTCAGAAAAAAAGTTCAACACATTATAAGAAATAACCTATTAATCCTAACATATAGTAAAAACTTAGTAAAATGATGATCATTGAAGAAAATAATATGCCTTAACAAGTAAAATAAATTTCAATGAAAAAAAGTAAGTGAACTTCTGTAGTAGTTCATATTTATTATTCCAGGCGTATCGGGCAGATTGACCAATTCTTGGTTGCTTGTACCATTTAAGTAATTAATTAAAGTGCTTTTTGGCAAGTAGAAACAGCCCTGCAAATTTCTCCTAACATTCATTCTGCCAAAAAACGTTTTGAAATCTGAAGCAATAAACTGTTTAGTTTTCATCTTTGTTTTTCTTAATTTCAATTTTTAAACTAAAAGATGCCACTTAGTGCTAAGGATGTTGCGCGCGGTGTTGTACTTATTGATGATGGACGTTCCATCAGGTATGCGGCTATTGCCGTCGGAGTTTCTAACGAAATTCTGCGAGACACCATTAGACGTTTTCGAAAAACTGGGTCCTATCATAGAAGGACCGTTTGTGGACGCCCTAGAGTGGTCGGCAAACTCGTCATCCAAAAGAGCCAAATATAAACAAAAATACAAATTGAAGTTTATTCAAAGAGCCTTTTGATAAACTTAAGCTTTGCTTTAGTACATATTTTTATGGAAATAGAATTAAAAGTACACTCTGGAGCTTGCCTTTGCTGAATATGTCTTAAGTAGTCTAACTAACGCTACATTAAATAAAACTTGGTATAAATCTTATATAAAGATAATATTTATTTAAAAATATAACAAGTTAAATAATATAAAAGGTATCCTTAAAAAACCTACAAATACTCCACTAATGTGAACAATGCTTTGCATTTCCCTGCAAAGTAGGGGTAAGTCAGGTTTGTATGTTGTTTTTAATTTTAGGCACGATTTCAAGTTCTCATCGATAAGCCGATTTCTTAATCTACTCTTGATATAGTTCATGCTTGAAAATGATTGTTCGCATAAATATGTAAACGCAAATAAGGAAAGAACAGGAAACGCTAGTTTCTTCAGTTGATCATCATCATCCAGGTGTTAAAAATCAACATATCTTCCCTCGCCAGATATTTCAAAGGAGACCATTTGTGCTGTAAACTTAATTCCCATTAAATTCACTAATTTCGTGGTCCGATTGACCACTTAATATATTACAATTAATTATGGTCTTTAGTTGAGATGAAAAAGTCAATGGCACGAGCGGGATTCGAACCCACGATCTTCGGCTAGATACGCCGCTGCTCTACTACTTGAGCTATCGTCACCTCGATCCACTCGGACACTAACTTCCCATCTCAACCCCACCTTTTGAATTTTCTCTCCTTTTTGCCATTTTTCAAATGTCGTGTAATCGGATTGGATTCTCGACGACAAATGAAATGGCCACGGAGAGCATTAGTGAAGTAGACTTCATTTTAAATCATTAAATTCACTAATTTCGTGGTCAGCTTGACGAATTAATATATTACAATTAATTATCCGATTACACGACATTTGAAAAATGGCAAAAAGGAGGGAAAACTCATAAGGTGGGGTTGAGATGGGGAGTTGATGTCCGAGTGGATCGAGGTCACGATAGCTCAAGTGGTAGAGCAGCGGCGTATCAAGCCGAAGATCGTGGGTTCGAATCCCGCTCGTGCCATTGACTTTTTTATCTCAACTAAAAACCTTAATTAATTTTAATTCACATTTATTTTTCTCCAATAGCTGTAAATCGGTTTAAAGACGCTCGAATTTTGAGCTCCAAAATTCTTTGTTTTTTAAATCCAGCAACTACATTTCAAAGCTGCCAATATCAATGCTAAAGGGCAAATAATTAATTTCTGTTACCGTGGCATTCAGAGGGTTTTTTTTTAACAAAGGCTTCGTTATTTCTGAAGTCTTTGAACCTATTGAGAAAATTTCTTCAGAAAATGTCTGCGAACATAGTGCTTCCTGATGAATAATACAATAGTAAGTATCTAGTGATTTTTTCTTTAAAAAATAGCAACAATCCTATTTCTTGCACCTGTCATACTTTTCGCTCCGTGTCTGCACTAAACATTTAGTGAAAGAGCCGCAGCCAAGAAGTCAAAGAGCCGCGGTTTACCGACCTCTGCCGGGGCCGCCTAGGGTAACAAAACCACAGGATGACCGTTTTTGACTTTGAGAATTTTGCGAAACCGGCAAGCGATTCATCAGCTCCAGCAAGTCCACTGCTCGAAGAAAATTAAATCAGACCAATTAAATCAAGAAAACAATGATGAAAACTAAACAGTTTATTTCTTCAGAATTCAAATAAGACTGAATAAACATTTTAAAATCCGTAAAAAGTAAACATAGAAAAATCCTTTATCCTTGTTTTGGATTAAGGATTAAGTGTGTTTATCTCTAATTGATATTCCTAATTGAAAACATAGCATAAACAAATATTTATTGATAAAAGTAATGAAACAAATTAAGGGCAAAAGTTTCTTTTATTGAGAAAATGAAAAAAAATCCACTGGGTGAAATTTTTTCCCTGTCAGTGTATATGTATAGATATTACTGTTCAAGTGGTTTCTTGTACATAGTAACATTACAAAGAAATCTGCCTGCTTTGTGGTTTTAGTCGTTTTTCCCCTTCTATTTACCCCAACGTTGGTGAATTGAATTGAATTTAATAAGTGGAGTTTGGCCGGCGTAGATTTAAAAGATCCCACTACGCTCGCGTTTCTTTGGAGCCCTGAAACAGTAGGTGTTCGATCATGATGGTGGCAGCAGGGGTCGACTCGTTACAATCCCATGGGAATATTTGGGAAACGAACGTGAGTCAATTCAAAACAGGCATATTGAATTCTGCCTATAAATTTTTAATCGAAATTAAACGTTTGTTCTCGGATGCTGAGATGATTTTTTTCAAAAAATTCCGTATTATTTTTTTCCATCCAAAAACTTTTAATACCGGAAAGTGAAGATATATCTCAAGTCAGTCGGTATTTTTATTACCGATAGAATTTAAGGAAACAAGAATAAAATAAAACAACAGAAATAAAAATATCAAGTAATAATAAATTTAATGACACTTTTGATTATTGAACATTGATTTGGGTCTAAATGACATATTTTTATATAATTTTTTAAATTTATAGAAAAACGTTTGCAGAAATTAAATTATACTACACATTCTGCCTTTGAATGTTTTTATTTTAATTTGCATTGTATTACAATTACTTTCAGTACGATAACATGAAACACTAACAAAGGCGCAATTTTCTAACTTTTTTAATTAAAACCAATTTTCTTGGTAAATACTGAAAGGATTTATTTCAAATTTGCAATACCAACGTGTTACTAGATAAATACAATTAAACAAAAACTACAAAATTACGTGCGTTTTGTATGATTTCTTACTAAAGTATCACCTCTTTCTCAAATCTTCGGTGGTCCATTGTGTAATTTCCATTATTATTTCGAACTCTTCATTCAGCTTAAGGCATTTTGTTCAGGTATTTCAGATACCAAAGCTTTGTAAAGGGCCTTCAAGGGTCAGCTTTTCCTCTCCCAGGAGTAAAGCAGCAGTCTTTGCACCATCAGCGGGCATGTTCATCTCGTTTTTTCCTATTCCTGGTTCCTCCGGAGTCTGCAGTGTCTAATCAGCAGTCATCATTATAATCCGAACAAGTAGTAGGCTTAGTGAGTTGGTTTCTTCGATGATCCATTGCTGTCCTGGAATAAAAACCCATTGAACTGAGGACTTTCTTAACCCATTGTCCCATAGATCTATCTTTTGGGCAACTTGGGAGATAGTATGACGCCAAAGCGTTTAGGGTCGACAGGTGGTTTTTTCTGGATTTGTGGTTATACGAAAATTCCTGCTGAAATTTTGTTTCTTTTGTAGAGAGAGGTTAAAGAGTTGTTTTAGAATGGTTTTTAGTAAGAGATTCTTAAGGTACTTCTACTGGTAATGTTTTGACAAATTGCTTTATTACACTCAGTTTGATGTGTGGGATCTTATAAAAAGATAACCATCTCTATCCACCTGCAAGGTGGAATCTTATCAGCGTCTCGTATGACTATTTTAGACCTAGAAAAAAGCTGGTGTTTTGTGTTTTTGCCCTAAGACCTCGTTTCTACAACCCAATAGCCTCTTGGGTCGACTATATAGGAAAGAGTAAACTTTTCGGAATACAGATTTTTGGTCGAGTAAAGCTCTGTGATATTAACATATAGCATATTCTCCAGATGTGCAGCTTGTACAGGTTTTTTTTAATAAACTTTTTCCTGCCAAATTTTTCTTTCCTCCTGCCTTTTCCTCTTCAAATTGACCATTGATAATTTAAAATTGTCCCTTTTTCCCAATAAATTAACCAATTAAGCTTTTATACTTGAAATTAATCATTTTTATTTTAAAAACTTTTTTTATTCCGAATTAACTTTAAACCCTTTCTTTAAAACAAAAACCCTAGGAGACGGTATGAAATGTAGGCAAGCAAAGAAAATTTCTGCAGTTTTAAAATGTACAATATGAAATAACTGGACTCTTAGGAAACGGCATGAAAATTAATAACAATTAAAATAAAAAATTATACAAAATAAAATGTGAAAATAAAGGATTCGTCTTTTAATTTGAGAAATATTTCAGTTTGGTTAAGACATTTTTTAACGATGTCTTAAAATGTAATTTAATTTAATGTAATGTAATTTTACATAATTTTAAACTTTAGTTGTAATTAATTTTATGTGATTTTGAGTAGGTACCCTAATTATTTTATATTTTAAAAACTCTCAAATTAAACAAAAACAGGTTTTTATGTTTAATTATATTTAATAGTAATTAATATTCATCTCTGGACTCATCTAAAAGTCCAATTATTTTATATTAAAAAAATTCAAATTTACAGGGATTTTACTTTTCATGCTTATATGTATATGATACAATCTCCAAAATACTTTTAATTATTTATGTGGTAAATAAAATGCTAAATCTGAAATTAAAAAAGGTTGATTCGGAGTTAAAAACAGTTAATTTGAAATCAAAAATATTGTAATAAATTGAAGAAATAAAAGTTTAATTTGAGATTAAAAAGGTTGAATTTTTAATAGAAAAAGTGTTTATTTGGTGCGAAAAAGATAACAATATAATGGCCATTACATTTCACGAATGTATTTCTGAAAATTTTAAATTTTTGGTAACATTAATTAGGCAAAGTGCCTATAACAAATAAACAAGTAGTTAAATTCTAAAATTGTCTCGATATTTCTTCTTGCTAGGAACAGTTTATCTCAGTTTCACTGGGTTCGTATTGATCTTTTAGGCAGAAAGATAATAACAATTGTACACGGGCACCTGCTTTTGGGCCAAAGCCCGCGCAGGTGGCCCTTATGCAGAGAAAGGTTGCTTGATGTGTCCCACATAATAGAGCTGTCATGCCTTGGCTCCATATAGAGAGCGTGTAGGATGCCGCCGGATTTAAGAATGGTTCTCGATCACGGTAGCCTGTTCCGCTTTTTAGGGGAATTGGAAAATTTTTATTGTATGTAGCCGTCAAGATATGCGTTTTGTATTTCTCCGTTTTGTATGAGTAAGTGTATTTATTAGAGTGAATGGGGAGAGGCTGATGGTTGGAATAGCATCCACATCGCCCCTCGAGTTTTGTACGTGACTTGGGTCGATGGCGGAATATTTATAAAATTACCCCAATTGGATTGGTTTGTTATTGTGTGCAGGTTGATGGAGTAATATTCAGTACTCCGTCCTCCAAATATAATGGATGCAATGTATAAAGGTGTGAATGTATTTATTTGTGTAAATGCGTATTAATGTGTGTTGCAATATTTCGCACGCACTCGGGGTTGATATGACCAAGCTATCGGATGCCTCTTAAAATGTTTTTCATCATTTAGTTTATTTAAAAAATGGATTTTTTTACAGGAAAACGAAATAAAAGAAAAAGAAGCTTATAAGCCAAAGACATCTATCTTGCTAGTCTTTGCATTTATCGTCCTGCACATGCTCAGCTTAATCGGGGCTTATTTGTCCATAACCTCCTGGACCGGCGTGATGGTTTTCTTTTTTAGTAAGTAAGACACTTATAATAATAAAATAAACGGAAGCTTTTTTTAAAAGAGTAATCTACACATATTAACAACAGGAACCCTTGTTTTGAATATTAGATTAAATATTAAGTTAAAATAAGAGCTTTTACTTAATTAAATGACAAAAAAGTTTAAATTTATATATTTCTTTAGATTATTTTACATTTGGAGTTTATGTAAACCTTGGGGTGACGATGGGTGCACACAGACTATGGTCACACCGGTCGTACAAAGCAACACTTCCAGTTAAAATCATCCTGCTAATAGGATTTACTTTGGCCGGACAGGTATTAGATTTATATACGACAAAATATTGCTTATATACTGATTTGACGTAATATTTTTTGTTTTTAATTTAAGAACTCTTTGCTAATCTGGGTCAGGGATCATAGGACACATCACAAGTTTAGCGATACAGACGGCGACCCTCACAATTCCAAGAGGGGGTTTTTCTTTTCACACATGGGCTGGCTTTTATGTACCAAACACCCAGATGTGAAAAGAAAGGGGAAAACTGTCGATTTGTCCGACCTGACTTCAGACCCAATTGTAATGTTCCAGTATAAGTAAGTCACGAAACAATTTACCCGAAGTGGTAATTAAATTTTAAAAAATATATATTTTTCAGGTACTTTTTCCCGCTTTTTTTCTTTTTCAATGCCTTAGTCGTTTACGTGGGTGTTCTCGTTGGATTTCCTTTCTGGCATAGCTTTTTCATCGGATTTGTACTAAGATATGTACTGGGATTGCACTTTACTTGGAGCGTTAACAGTTTGGCTCATTTCTATGGGACCAAACCGTATACAAGGTAAGGAGTTAATATTTTATTCTTGTAAGATTTCTTCTTGAAGTCTGTTAGTTGATACACCTGCAGTTTGAAATTTTGGCCAATTTTAAACATCCTGGTCTTCTTATAATTGCCAGTTTGGTCGGTCAGGAGATCAAGAAGAAGATTTTGTGCAATTTTGACAAAAAGGGACGATTGACAAACCAAAACACAGGATAATCATTAATGATATGGTTCATTACATATGACAGACCACAACAGTGGGAATAGGTATACCAGGGTGATCGAGAAGTTTTTACAGTTTGATCGTTCCAATCACCTTGATAGGCCAAATTTATGGTTTAGGACTAACAGATGTGTTACTGCTATTCTCCATTTTCAGTGTTCGGTTTTAGCCAATGTCCACTGATATTATTTACAATGTAGCATATAAACCAAAAGCTAACAATGTCAGGATGGGTCTACAGCTACAATGTCAGAACAAAACTACAGTATAGACATACCAGAATTGTTTAACAGTCCTTATATTTCATCAATCCCTGTTTCCTGCTTCGTCCCATATCGTACGTCTTTTAACTTAGATTTATAGAACCAACTCTACACTGAAGTAGCCAAAACACGTCTGACAGACCACAACCGCAACTACATACAAACGTGGATGATTGGAAACGCCCAAACTAAAGTTCCTAAAGTTTGCGATCGTTCCTTTCATCCTGATCTGTCAATTATTGCTCGTTTGGCCCATCAGAGCTATTTCTGATTTATCCCACCATGGATGATAGATAACGACCTAACTAAAATCTTGTAAAAGTGTGACTGATTTGATCTGTAAAAACCCGTTGCTTTATTTGTCTATCCTGACATTTTAAGAACAGAAAAATGCACATATCAGGATTGGTGATGATGTAGCTTAAGGTACATACAAACCACAATTAGTTCCCGATTCTGAACTTGCGTTTTTCTTGTACGTGTTTTGTTAGCTTAGTTTAATAAAGCCCACGTCTGACAGACCTAGTGACAACTAGAATGATCTTAAACCCATAAGGATTTTTATCCAACCATTATACAATTCCCTATGACGTTTAAATCATGACATCATCTCGATTCTTTGTAATGTCTTCTCAGAAACAACTAGGCCATTTGTTTCTAATAGTACACCCGAATGTGTTCAACATTTCAGAGAGATCGTTCCTGTAGAATCCAAGATTGTGTCAGCACTGACGAGGGGAGAAGGATGGCACAACTATCATCACACGTTCCCCTGGGATTACAAGGCGAGCGAATTCGGCAACAAACTCAACTTCAGCTGCCAAATGATAGAACTCCTTGCGAAATTCGGCTTGGTTTACGATTTGAAGACGACATCAACTGAAATGGTCAAAAACTGGGCGTCCAAATACGGCGATGGGACGCACAAGGAACACGCCGACTACTGAAAACACCACGACCTCAAATTTCATATAACGAAACTATTTTGTATAAACATTTTTATAACTAATCGGCTTATGTTTTTATTTACAATTATTCCTCCTGTTTCGCCAAAGGTGTCTAATGGACTTCAAACATTTGGCAGATGATTACCACCAGGTCTACCATCTATCAGGTTTTCTGTCACGCGCGCAGAAACCTACAAGGCAATGTATTTACTTTTTATCCCCGATGGGATGCGGTGAGATTGCCGGGTAAGCATGGGCTATCAAAGAGACGAAAGGAAACCGAAACAGGCATATATCGCATAAAATTATATTATGTGGTAGATTTTTTTTAGTATTATTAGTCTTATTGAACGACCATACTGGTCTTTAGATTCTCGCACAATGGTGGACCAGCAACAGACAATAGGATGAAATTCGTAAAATCACTAAAAGTATCTGCTGACCAAAGTAGTGAATACCAGGATGATCACAAATGACCAAACTTGAAAGCTCTTCTAGTATCACCTTTCTATTCTTGTGCTTATGCAAATTAATTTAGCTAAATAGACCACATATACGACTTGAGAGGTCGAAACATGTTGGACAGACCAAAACAGCGAGCTTAGTCAGATCAGGAACATCGGAAACGACCACACTAGGTGTTCATCTAATAGCATCATTTCTATTATGCCCCTTAACATAACTAAAAAGACCAAACTATCGTCTGAGATGAATGAAATTCCAAAATCGGTCTGACAGAACATACAGTAAGGAAGTCCATAAAATGAATGGAAGGAAATGTCCATGCTAGAAGTTTTTCTAGTATCATCTTCTATTCTCGTGCTTATAATCTTTAAGTTAGTTAAATTAATTTAGAAGGGCAGAATTGAACGTGCCGGCTAAATGTAAGAGTTGGGGTCGGCACAGAGACTCTTTGACGTCCTCTTGACGTGCCCAGAGAATCATTCACAGATAGTGACCGGTACGACTAAAGTACTCGGCGCAGGTCTGCATGACAGGCTACGAGGTCGCCGTCAAGGTCTCCCCCCCGGACGTCGTCACCACCCCGACGAAGATGGAGTTATTAACCTAGACCTCGAGGTGGCGTAAAAGGTTGTGGGCGCGATGGAAGCTGTGGCAGTCCTCAAAGCATAAAATTACGGGGTGCTCATAGAAGCCCTCATGGAACTGCGGAAATGCCACTTTGTGGGACCTGTTGTAGTAGTGGGAGCAGGGGGATGCATACCTGAGCGTACGAAAAAGACCTCAGGGACTTCGGCATTAAGGATTTGCCGAGTTAGGTTCTCACTCTCTCCTTTAGAGCCTTGAGGTCGTCGCTGTTCATTGCCTGCATATGGATCTGGAACGTGCGTGAAAACATTCCAGCGGCACCGGGTGTCGAGCAAACCACCAAGCGACCCTGGCAAACCGATGGGTAAACACGAATATACCTGAGGTGCAGGCAAAGTAGGGCAAAGTAGGCGAACCAGCACTACAGGATAGCAACACCAGCAGAAGCCCGATAAAAATTTATGTTTGTTAAAATAATCAGGAAAAATCATATTCTATTTTTGCTGGCTTAATCTATTAACACCATTTCTGCATTTAATTTTCTGCACTGGCGAGAACTCTGTCCGTTTCCGTCTTTCTTTCACTGAGCAAACAAATCCGTCGTACATTCTCAAAAAGTAAAAAACGTTTATTCTTTATTGGTAAGGACATCCAATCGAGATTTTATTGTTGAGGTGATTGAATTGTATAAAAGTTTATGAAATTGGTGGACAATGATTATATTACCACGATAGAAATAAAAGAAATTCCATCCTCAACCAGTTGGTCGACGTTTTCAAAACAAAGGATACAAATGCAATGAGAGATGCGGTATTGATAACCCCTAACAATGATCAGAAATCGTAGTAGAGAACTTAAGTTCTTTGTAGTTCATCCCTGTAGCGAGAAATCGTAATGTGGTTGCCAACCTTTCATGTAGTGATGATTTCTCTCATGACTGTCTTTTGTTTTCTAATCAAGGGGGTAACAAGCTGGAGTAAATATAAATAAGACGTTAATCTTTTTTTTGTAAGGTTTTGGTTGAAATGAAAAAATAGTGTCACGAGGGGATTCGAATCCACGACATTCGGCTAAATACGCCGCTGCGCTAACCACTTGAGCTATCCTGACTTCGATAGTTCGATCCACTCGGGCACCAACTCCCCATCTCAACCTACAACCTTTCGAATTTTCTCTCTTTTTGCCATTTTTTGGTGTCGGAGAGGATCGAAGTCACGATAGCTCAAGTGGTAGAGCAGCGGCGTATTTAGCCGAAGGCCATGGATTCAGATCCCGCTCGTGGCACTAGCTTTTTCATTTCAACCAAAACCTTACAAAAAAGATTAAATAATTGAAAGAAGTAATTTGGTCAATAGAACACTAAATATAATGAATAAATAAGACGTTTCATCCATCCTTAAATAGTTCCTCCAATCAGCGGGTTCAAGGGAAAGATCTTTCATCAAATTGATGTGGGTATTACGGCTTCTGTTCAGGAGCCACTTCTTACACCATTTTCTTTTCGATATTTTGCTTTTAATATGTAAATAAATAGAAGAGTAGCACAAGAGATCGTCATCCATTTTGAGAAGGTAATTCAATGGTTGATGTTCGGAGCGACTGGCCGTGGAGTGATCGTGAATGGCCACCTTAAAAGTTGCTAACGTCCGATCGTTTTCTTTCTTCCTGACCTTTCGTTTCTTTGGTCTGTCAGAACTGTTTTTGCCTTGTCTAAACTTCAGTGGTGGGCCGTTCTTCTCAGGAAACAAGCAAGAAATCATCATACTCTTCTATTCTTGTTTGACTACTTTCTTCTAAATTTACCAATCTTCAGTGGATAGACAGCCTAGTTAAACCGATAATTTAATTGGAGCAAACCTATCACTTGAGATGCTGAAACAGGTCTGGCAGTCCAAAACAACGAGGACAGACATGCAAGGATGACCGGAAATGTCCTTTCTTGAAATTTGTATATTTTTTAAAGTGCATCTTTAATATTGTCCAGCGCCATGCCCGCAAAAGACGAGTTGCTTCACATTTTCCGAGTTATTCTTCATCCTCATCACATGTACGTTTCAGAAAAACAGACCGACCACTCATCAAAAGACAAAGCAAGAAATAGATACTGATCAAATAATAATGATGACCAGGATGATCGTAACCAGTATTGCCTGTCCGTGCATTTTTAATTTATCAAACATGTTTCTGTTGATTTGTTTTATTTATCTAAGCTAAAAGACATGTCCCAGAAAAATGTGCAGACCACCACACACACAGTGAACAAACTATAAGAGCATTTAGACCATCCTGGTCTGTATATATTCGTTCGAAAAATTAGGAAAAAAACTACTCTTGGCCCACCATTGTTCCAAATGTTCACATCATTAAAACATTGTTTGAATATTAAAAAAAACGACAGTCATTGTCTTAAAACGCAGAAATCTACGGACGAACAAACTATTACGAATCCGTAAAATATGTCTGAATTCACGGTATGGATCTGACAGGTACACTTCTGTATCTTCAACTGTTGATCTGAAGGGTTATTTTGTATATCATGTAGATCGACGTTGGCCAAAACTGACCGCTGAATTTGACGGAACGCCAACACTTCTGTCAAACAGTCTCCAAAGTCTCACTACTTTCGTCCGTCAGTTAAGTTTAGACATTTCCCAATCTTAAATCGCCAAACGTCGACATCCAAAGGTTCTGCGTGACCACGTCAACCGCGTTACAGTCCTCACTCCACTACCTGGAAGATCAATAACACGTCTTGAACATAAGCAAGCAGTCGTAAAGATGAATAATGAATAAAACATAAAGTGCTTACAATTATTATTATTTTATTTTTTATTTATTTTTTTTTTTAATAAGGCAGCAACCACAATCAGGGTTATATTTGCCTTGAATCCGTACTGACTATAATATTAACGTAATTAATATTATTACGTTAATATTACGTTTTATCGTCTTAAAACGCAGAAATCTACCTGAGTATAAAAAATGACGAAACCTTAAAAGATCAATTGTTTAATAATTTTGTACGGTTGCGTAAACGTCGTATTAACCAACCTTTTCTGCCTTTAACTAGTCTCAAAAGAACGATTTAGATTTGTCGACATTTAAAAAAATAAAATAAACAACTAACAGTAGTAAAATCGTATTTCAAAATGATTCAAGTTACTTGCCTAAGACGAACATGAATATTTAATTAAAAGAATTAAATACAACTCCGTTGCTCAACATTTCTATTGAAAAAGTGCCATTGGATGGTAATTTTCAAACTTGGATAAGTATATAAAAATGGATTTTTTCTAAATCCGATATTCAGTCTACTTCGAACAGCTCTAAGACAACATGGAAAGCCGAAAAGAAAAAATACAAAATGTAGAGGTAAGATTTACTTTTTATTTTGACAAATCTAATTAAAGTTACGTTAATATTATTCTATTAGTGTTTTCAATTAAGTAATAAATTTACACTCACTATTGGCAAATTGCACATTATTAAATTTCTGATAATGTCCGTACTTCATTGTCTGACGCTGCCTCCACACGTGCGATCATGAAAACGGGACGTTGTTACACATATTTTAACATTAACATAATTTTTTTTAACATAATTAATATTTATAGTTATTCAGATATCGTGAGATGCGGTCGGGTGTGATGTAGGTTTCAGAAAAACTTTTTCTTTATCGTGCCAACGTTTCGATCTTTTATGAGATCATCTTCAGGGCTCAAAGTGTTTGTCTTCTGTGTGATTGTACCATTCTTGCGTGTCGTGTTGAGAGTGCACACTTGAGTTCTGAAGATGATCTCAATAAAGATCGAAACGTTGGCACGATAAAGAAAATGTTTTTCTGAAACCTACATCACACCCGACCGCATCTCACGATATCTGNGAGCCCTGAAGATGATCTCAATAAAGATCGAAACGTTGGCAGATAAAGAAAATGTTTTTCTGAAACCTACATCACACCCGACCGCATCTCACGATATCTGAATAACTATCAATTAACGGTCACTAATCTCTACACATTAATTAATATATTTTCCTATTTACGCATAATTAGATCACATGCATGTAAAACATGAATTATATGGAAGGTAAATAAACGTTATGTTTCAGCTAGTAAAACCGCCTATAAAAGATGATTTCCCACTACAATACGTATGGCTCAATGTGTTTGCGTACACCGTACTTCATCTCTTTTTCTTTTACGGTCTCTATTTAATGTTAACTTTCCAAGCCAAGTGGCAAACATTTATATACAGTAAGTTTAACATAACTCTAGTTGGTATAGGTTATTACAAAATTTATTTTTTGCCCTAGCTTACTTGTGTATAATATTTTCAATCGAGGGCGTCACTATGGGAGCGCATAGACTCTTTTCTCATAAGTCATATAAAGCTACTACTCCTTTAAAAATATTACTTTTGATTGCACACGCTATAGCAGGACAGGTAAGGATGACTTTTTATAAATATTTTAGTTTAACTGTAAGATTTGTAGTTTTATTAGTATTGACGTTAATCCATAGTAACAAGTGTTGCACCCGTTTAGCATTAATTGGCTTATAATTAAGTTCTGTATTAACTATTGTACAAGCGGTTTGATTATATCTTCAGGACTGATGGGTGATGAACATGAAGTTTGGCCATTTACGATCTGGTTTGCTTGTCCTCAACTCTCAGCTACGATGATTCAAGACCAGGATAATACGAAATGGCCAAACTAATATGTAAAATACAGTAGATTTCGTGGTCTCATTGACCAAATAACCTCTTTCAATTAATTAATCTTTATGTAAGGTATTGGCTGAGATAAAAAAGTCAGTGTCACGAGCGGGATTCGAACCCACGACCTTCGGCTAAATACGCCGCTGCTCTACCACTTGAGCTGTTGAGTCTTCGATCCACTCGGACACTAACTTCCCATCTCAACCCCACCTTTTGAATTTTCCCTCCTTTTTGCCATTTTTCAAATGTCGTGTAATCGGATTGGATTCTCGACGACAAATGAAATGGCACGGAGAGCATTAGTGAAGTATACTTCATTTTAAATCATTAAATTCACTAATTTCGTGGTCATCCTGTGGTTTTGTTACCCTAGGCGGCCCCGGCAGAGGTCGGCAAACCGCGGCTTTTTGACTTCTTGGCTGCGGCTCTTTCACTAAATGTTTAGTGCAGACACGGGGCGAAAAGTATGACAGGTGCAAGAAATAGGATTGTTGCTATTTTTTAAAGAAAAAGTAGTTTTAAAGAAAAAATCACCAGATACTTACCATTGTATTATTCATCAGGAAGCTCTATGTTCGCAGACATTTCCTGAAGAAAATTTCTCATCAGGTTCAAAGACTTGAGAAACAACAAAGCCTTTGTTAAAAAAAACCCCTCTGAATGCCACGGTAACAGAAATTAATTTTTTGCCCTTTAACATTGATATTGGCAGCTTTGAAATGCAGTTGCTGGATTTAAAAAACAAAGAATTTTGGAGCTCAAAATTCGAGCGTCTTTAAACCGATTTACACTAATGGAGAAAAATAAATGTGAATTAAAATTAATTAAGGTTTTTAGTTGAGATAAAAAAGTCAATGGTACGAGCAGGATTCGAACCCACGATCTTCGGCTAGATACGCCGCTGCTCTCCCACTTGAGCTATCGTGACCTCGATCCACGCGGACACTAACTTCCCATCTCAACCCCACCTTTTTAATTTTCCCTCATTTTTGCCATTTTTCAATATAATATAATAAATAATATATAAATATTTGCTTAGGGTTTTAGTTTTGATTGACGACTTCTTATACCTTGCATTTTGTTTACAAAGTCTCAATAAGTTTGCTGTTTAATTAATTTTGGCGTGTAGAAAAGCAGCCACTCAGGCTTTATTTTAAACCAATCTTTCCATTGTTATAAGGTCTCTATAAGTTTGCGGTGTAATTAATTTTTGCTTTATATTTGGTTTGCAGAAAAGCCGCCAGTAAGGCTTTATTTTAGCCCAATATTTCCATTATAGGGTCATAAAATACTCAGAGCTCATTGGCATACATCAGAGGATGTTTCAGGAGGCCGTGAATCGCAATACCGAATTACACCAGTTTGTATGCAAAAAAATACACTTGGGTTTTAAACAAAAGGATAGCAAAGAAATGATTAAGCTGATGTATTTTTAACGAAGGGAGCAGCTGCACCATTTACAAGACATTCTTGTGCCAGATAGGAATTCACCCTAACTGAGAATTTTTAACAGTATCAGATAACGTAAGAAGTAACAAGAAAAAAAAAATCTCACGAATGTTGAAAAATTTCAAAAGGAAGAAATTTCTAAGAGCATAAGGATGAAAGACAAAATTCAACATTTTAAGTTTTCTTTAAGGGCCTTGCAGACTCGATCGTCATTGACTAATGAAAATTGGAAGAGTAGATTCTGCAAAGAAATGAAAAAAATCCGGTATCTGACTGTGCAGCTTCTTGAAAACATAAGCTAACAGGCAGAGTACTGCAGGCTCAATGAACATCTGAAAAAAACTATACACTTCAGACTCCGGAGGCATATGGACTTGCGAGCAGTAGAAAAAGTCTGTTCATATACTGCCAAGGGGAAGAAGAAAACAACTTGTACAGATCAGTACAAGTCTAATAGTATCGGAATTCGGATCGGAAAAGCTTCTTGAAAAGCCACTACTGGCATAAATGGATTCAGGAAATAAGAAACCATCGGTTTCCTAGATTCTGCAAAAGAGCAGAAAAACTGCCTCTCATATTAACTGCAACAACCAACTGCAGAATTTTATAAGTGAAATTGTTACAGAACACGTAATACTTTAAATTGTGAAAGAAATTCATCTATCAATATTTGATTAAAATAGAAATAGGTATTAACGGTGAATAACAACTATCCAGTTTTATCTATTTGTTTATGTAACATGATCCATTTCTTGTGAGAGGTCTGAGAAATTATGGACTTGTAGCTTCACCATCTTTGGTCATCCTGACCCGCCTATGTTTAAAGGTTTGATTAACAGAATTTCTGCACCTCTCTACCTTGCGTAGTTATTTTGCCATAGCATAAGCTTTAGAGAATATCTAGATTAACAGCAGCTATTAAATAAATTCATAACCAACATCAAAACTTCTAGTGATAATTTCCTAGTTGATGCTAGAAGGAATTGTGTTGTTTTTAACGTTTTTATTTATTCATCCTGTTCCTTAACCATGGTAAAAATAAATAGTGGTTCAACTCAGATGTTTAAGATCCTAAAATAGACTGATAGCTCCTTTGTAATCAATAATAACCTTGATTCTAACCATTTCACTTTAAGGTTATGCTAGTAGATGATAGGGACTCTAAAGTAGCATAATCAGCACAATTTTTCTTTTAATTTATAAGTTAATAGCTTTTTTACTGTGGCTTAATTCTGGCATTAAATTGATGAATTGAAGATTTACGTTATATTGTTAATAGAGCCAGTCAATACAGTTGAATTTAAATTGTAAGATGTAATATTTAATTAACAAAAAAACGAAGTGGTTGACTTAATGAACAATTAATTATAAGGGATTTTCCTCTTGTTTTCACAGAATTCATGTTTCATTTGGGCAAGAGACCACCGCCTTCATCATAAATTCAGCGACACTATCGCCGATCCGCACAACGCAAATAACGGTTTCTTTTATTCTCACATGGGTTGGTTACTAATGAAAAAACACCCAGAAATAATAAAGAGAGGGAGAGAAATAGACCTATCGGATTTAAGATCTGACCCCTGGGTTATGTTTCAGTACAGGTATGTAAATAATTTTTGATGTAATGCTCTCGAGAGTTGGTACAGTTGATTATTGTCATTGTGTTTGCAGATATTTCCTCCCTATACATTTTTTCTTTGCGTCAATCATGACATTTGCTCCTTATTTCCTTTGGGGGGAGTCTATAAAGTGTTGCATCGGTCTTGTCTACTTTGTCAGATATGCGCTGACCTTACATGGAGCATGGGCTGTGAACAGTGTAGCACATTTTTTCGGCACTAAACCTTATTCTAAGTAAGATCAGTTAGAAATAATACGATTTGATCTTCTGCTAGTGAATAATTTTTGTTAAGACAACTCTTTTTTTATAGACATTTGAGAGCTGTGCAAGTTCCATGGATATCCTTCTTCGGTGGCGGGGAAGGATGGCACAACTACCACCACTCATTCCCCTGGGACTACAAAGCGGCTGAATTTGAAACGCCGTTCAATTTTACAAGGACGTTCATTGAAATCGCTGCTAGCATGGGGCTTGCGTACGACCTAAGATCCGCGACGCAGGATATGGTCAATCATCGTATCAAAAAACACGGGGACGGAACTAAACAAGTGAATTGTGAGGAGCAGAAACAACTAGAAGTAGATGATATGGACTTGTATGGAGAGAAATTTTCTAAATTTACCACAATAAGAAATCGTCAAATCGGATCGTAAACTTCGTCATAATAATAAGAAACGTCGTTTTCTTAACATTAGTACTGACATAAATCAACTGTAAGTATTACAGTTCAAACATGACTAAAATTAAGGCAAAGATATTTTCTATAACCAAAAACTTTAAATAATAAATACATATTTATTAAGCAAATACAATTTTTTTAAGTTTTTTTACCTTAACCTTTGTATTCATGTGGTATATTCTGTACAGGCTCAAAATATAAACAATCAAACTAATTAAAGAATGTGAGGAACACGTACCGTAACCTTATCGCTAAGTGATACGAGACATTTGGTTAGTTACCTTTTGAGTTGGAAGTAAGGTAAGGTTAAAAATACAAAAATCAGAGAGATAATACTCATACATATTTATTGTAACTCTATTCCGGACGGTTTTAAATTTATATAGAATAAACAAAGAAAAACAAAATTGCCACAACTCAAGTTTAAAAATTACTACCTAAAATGAACTTACCCGGAGCAATATTCACAAACACGTTTCCAATCGTTCAGCCACTCCTAGTTTCTGTTTTCAGCTGCTTTAAGGATCCTCGACAGTTGACCCTCCTTCTGTCGGGTCATCCAGATAATTCGATGGGACTTACAACGAACACTCCGACTGCTGTAAAGCCCACGACCTGCCAACCTCAAGGAACTTATAGCTAAACTGTTTTGTATAAAAGTTTTTAAAATTAGCCGGCTTATTTTTATTTTTTGAATTATTCTTACTGATATATATTTTGCAATATTGCAATCTTATCTGACAAATCACACCTTTATGGCATAAATAACAATCACCAGCCTTAGAGGAATTGGGGATACCTGAAGGAACTTTCCCAAAGATAGATATTTGCATCCAAACATTTTGCAGAAAATTACCATCCTCAGGTAAGAGAATATTTAAAGCTGTCTGCTATTTATTAGGAGTAACAATAGGCTGATCAAAATGATCAGAAGCGACCAAACTAGATGTTCTAGTAATCTCTGCTGTTCTCTTGCTTATGTTCATTAGCTTAGATGAATTGACCTACTATTTGAGATGCTGCTTTTTGTCAGACAGACAAAAGCAGCAAGTACATTCATACTAGGTTGATCGTAAACGACCAAACTAGAAGTGCTTCCATTCCACATAAGATAGTCATTTAGCTTAGGTGAATAGTTCACACCTGCCCTGTACAGATATATAATATATTATTTTATTTATTACTATATTATTATTTATTGATAATATATTATCCAGGAAGTAGTAAGTAGTTAGTTTTTAGAAATGGGGACTGACTATTAAATTAAATTCTTTACAACATTCTATAAAGTCACAACAGATTATAAAGGAGAGGAAGAATTCAGGAGACCATTACATACAATGATATGGTACACCGATGGCTCCAAAATAAACAAAGGAACCAAATCGAGTGTTTTTTGTACAAGACCAAGACTTGAGCAGTCAAATTCATTAGGAAAGTACACTTTGGCCTATCAAGTAGAAATACATTCCATCAAAGATTGTACCCTAGAACATCTTAAAAGATGTTATACTGGCAAAACAAAACCCTCGTAAGTTCAGATAACCAAGCAGCTATTAAAGCATGAGCATGTAAAAAAATCACCTCATAATAATTCAGTGAATGCATCCAAGATCTTCAAAACCTGGGAAGATACAACAACCTGATGATATGGTGCTAGGAAACGAAGGAATTTTGGTTAAGGAAAAAGAGAAAACACTGGCCATAGGAGCATTTGCGAGACCACACATAGGCCCCTAACCTATACTTTGGATAACAAAAACAAATAACGAATCCTCCATCGCAGAATGGATTCAAATAAAACAAAAGAATAAGTGGATAAACGCTAGCAGTGGTAGACATCGTAAACTTGTGTTAAAACAACCCTCACCAGGACTGGCACACTCACTGTTACTCAGAGGAATAAGTGATAGGATTATTAACCGTTCATCGGCATCTGAGAAAACATCTGCACAACATGGGCATAAGGATGAGCCCATCTGCAGATTATGTAATGAGGAGGAGGAAACAGCCACCCATATCGTCTTCGAATGCGAAGCAACGGCTCAATGGCGACATAACCTAGCATACAGCAAAAACCTAGGGAATGAAATTGTAGCAGGAACAGTCAATGTCCTGATACTTCTGAGAAGAAGGATTGAATCGATTGCACTGAACTAGGGAACTAGGAAGGTACAATTAGCTAGAAGGCTACAGTGCCTGGAGCACAAACCCCGCTTCCTAGTATCCTCATCACCATCACCCAGAAACGCGTCTGACCTACAAAAACAAAGAGGGTATGCCGACCAGGACCAGAAACGACCAAATTACAAATTATTCTTGCACCATCCCTTCTATTCTCGTAATATTGTACTTTAGCTTAGCTAAAAATATGAAGACCAAACCTAACACTTGAGATGCCGAAGTTGTCAGATAATCGGAAACGACCAAACTGGAAGTCGCTACAGTTTGTGATCCTCGAAGATCAATAAGAAGTCTTGAGCGTAAAAAACATCGTCTTAGGTCTTAGTATATTTAATCAAACATGATGGGCACTCAGTTATTATTATCAGAATAATAGGCAGTGAGATCCTTAACACAAGTTCCAGCTTTATAAAACTCTCAAAAAGGAAGGCAAAGGAACTCCTCCCTCGCAGACATCGGCACATATCCATTCTGAATGTAAACATTACCACGGTTAGGATACATCATCTTCGTAGGCCATTTTTTCACACCAAAAGAGGTACGCAAAGAAGCGCCAACGAAAGTGTTTTATCTTTTATGAAAAAGAGCACATTTATTCCACAATAGATTTATTCAGGTCGCTGTGGAGTCAATCATAATTCTACCATGACCCCCCCAATCTTACAAAAAAATTGTACCATCCTATTTCTGGTATTTCTACTTTTTTCAAAAAATAAGAACAAACTACTTTTGGCCCACCATTGTTTTAAATGTTCACATCATTAAAACATTGGCTTAATGGGTAAAACAAACATTCATTGTTCTAAAACGCGGAAATCTAGGTGAGAACAAAAGATTACGAAAATTTAAGAGTTTAATTTATTTTTTTAAATAATATTCTATAGTTTTAAGTCAACGTCCTATTAACTAACCTGTTCTGTCGTTGAATGATTTCAAAAGATCGATTTAGGTGTGACAGTTTTAAAAAGTAAAATGAACAAATAATAATAGAAAAATCGTATTTAAACTTGTCTCAAACTATTTGACTAAAACGAACATGAATATTTGATTAAACTAATTAAATTCAAACCAGTTGCTCAACATGTTCATTGGAAAGTACCATTGAATGGTAATTTCCAAAAACTAACAACAATATAAAAATAGACTTTTTAAAATTCGCTATTCAGTCGACTTTAAACAACTCTAAGACAACATGGAGGGTGAAAAAGAAGGAAGACGAAATATGAAGGTGAAGTTTATTTACATTTTGACAAATCTGATTAGTATTATGTCTTTTATATAATCTTTTCTATTATGCGTCGTCCTGGATATATTTACACTCACCATCGATAAACTGCACAACGTTAATTCTCGCCAAACACATTACAAATTTTATTTATATGTCATGATATTATATTATTTAATGATTCTCTGGCTATTATTGTAATTGATACAGTTCTACAATTAAGTGTGTGTGGTGTTTAGTGACAGTTAGCCAATGATTATTTGGAAATCGTGAGGTGCGGTCTGGTGTGACATAGGTTTCAGAAAAACATTTTCTTTATCGTGCCAACGTTTCGATCTTTATCTGGCATATGACAAATGACACATTTACACACACAAACACTTTGATCCCTGAAGATAATCGCAATAAAGATCGAAACGTTGGCATGATAATGAAAATGTTTTTCTAAAACCTACGTCACACCAGACCGCACCTCACGATTTTTTTTGACTGGGGCTTCCGACATCTAGGTCATTTCAGCCCCCAACTATATCTATATTCGATTTACACTTTCAAACACTACATTCGTACAAATAAATACATTCATACACATAAATACATCCATACAATACACTCATTCCGTTTGGTTGGTGGAGTACTTGATATTCCTCCACCGACCCTATATTCAAACTAATCTACATTGGGGTCGATGGAGTACTTTTATAAATATTCCGCCATCGACCCCGAACACACAATCTTACGCTCTCATCGTTCGAGGGATGATGATGACGTTATATTTCACCCTTACCCCTCGCCATTCACGCTAATAAATACATGCTCTCGGACAAAACATATAGACACACAACACATAAGACATACTATATACAATAAAAAAAAAAAAACAATTTCCCCTAAAAAGCGGAACAGGGGACTCTGAAACTCGCTACCGTGCTCGAGGACTCTTCTTAAATCCGGCGGCATGCCTACACGCTCTCTGTATGGAGCCAAGGCATGACACGCCTCTATTATGTGGGACACATCGAGCAACCTTTCTCTTCATAAGGGGCACCTGCGCGGGCTTTGGCCCAAAAGCAGGTGCTTATGTGTCAACCGCGTATGGCCAATTCTCAGTCGAGTGAGGACGATCCCTCGTCTCCTGCTCAGATTCTCTGAGGGCCATCTACCGGTCGTGCTTGACTCGCAAGAGCCTCTCCAACAACCCCGCCCACTGACGCTGCCATCTTTGTTTTATCATTTTTTAACTGCGTGTTTAGCGTCAGGGGGCCTGATCGAGATGGTCCGATCTGGAGGGTGGGACGTACCGGCTTTCGCCGTTGTTACCCTCCAGGCCGACGTGTCCGGGAATCCAGACAACAACCACCGTTTTTCCGAGAGGCTCCGGCTCCGCGTATTTCTCTAACAAGACCACGACGAGAGGGTCTACAGAGAACCTGTCGCGTATCGCCCAGACAGCGCTCAGAGAGTCGGTACATACGAGGAAGTCTGAGCCCTCCCCGGTCCGCACCGCCTCGAGAGCGTGCCAAATCGCATACAGCTCTGCCGTGTATACGCTGCAATGAGGGGGCAACGACCAGGAGGTGGCCAGTCCCTCGCTAAACACAGCACACACCACACCATCGCCGGTCTTGGACCCGTCTGGAAAAATCAGACGAAAACCGGCGTATCTATTTCTAAGTTCAAAGAACTTAGCCTTGTAGAGGTATGGCGGCGTACACGATTTGTGCAAGTTCGCCAGATCGTCGCGGACGAGTCTGGCCGGAAAGGTCCAGGGGGGTGTCGGCCGGTGGCCCAACCGAAACACCGTCCCCAGCGCCAATCCGGCCCTCCCTCAGGACTCATCGAACCGAATCCCGAATAATCGACTATTAAGGTTTAATTTATGGATTTCTTTTATTTAAGGACAGAAAAATCATTAGGCACATGCACACAAAAGTTATGATGAAATGAATAAAACATAAATAAACGTGTTTTTTTTCAGCCAGTAAAATTGCCTATGAAAGATGATTTCCCACTACAGTACATATGGCTCAAAGTGTTTCAGTACTCCGCCCTCCACCTCTTTTTATTTTATGGTTTCTATTTGATGCTGACTTTTCAAGCCATGTGGCAAACGTATTTATACAGTAAGTTGACAAAACAATGTTTTAAAACTTTAGTTTGTCTAGATTATTAATTTTAAAAAATTTTCCTAGCTTACTTGTGTTTAATATTTTCAATTGAAGGAGTCACTATGGGAGCGCATAGGCTCTTCTCTCATAAGTCATACAAAGCTACTACTCCTTTAAAAATATTACTTTTGATTGCGCAGGCAACAGCAGGACAGGTAATTATGACTTTTTCGAGAATATATTTTAGTTCATCACTACGACTTGTAGTTTTATTAATGTTGAAGTTGATTCAAACCAATAAGTTTTGCACACGCATTAATTGGCTTATAATAAAGTTTTTTCTTAAGTATTGTACAATAGGTTTGGTTATTTCTTGAGGGCTGATCAGTTATGAGCTTGTAAATTGTTCATTTTCGATCTGGTTTGCTTATTCTCAACTGCTTGTGACTGCAGCGATGGTAGAAAACCAGGATGATCAGAAATATTATAAACATTCCTTAATTTTTGATTCCCATCCTTACAATTTGTTTACCAGATATCTATATACCTGCTGTTTAATTCATTTTGGCTTTATGTAGGGCTCGAAGAATAGCAGCTACTAAGCCTTTTTTTGTCTAATCATTCATTATTTGTTATGATAAAAATTGTTAAGCTTCTACTGGAAACTGGTGATATACGACTAATGACCAAATGCTAAGAGCTCATTGGCAAATGCATCAACATTATTAACGCTAAAATTGCTATATAAACCAAATAAAGACATGCCAGTTAGATAAACGATTAGAAAATTCTTAAATTGAGAACTTGTAGGTATAGTATGTACTAATGAATGTACTAATAAGAAGTAGAAATATTTCGGAAAGTTTTAAAAGAAAGAAATATCATAAAATATAAAAAGGAAAAACAAAACTCGACATTTTAAGGATTTTTGTTAGGACACTGCAAATTCGATGGTCATCAGGTAGAAATCGACCAATGAAAATTAGAAATGTAAATTCTCGAACGAAATAAAAGAAGCAGCAAAGAAACATGCTGCAATTAACAGAAAAATTACTAACAAAATCCAAGACAAAATGTTTTAGATTGTAGAGAATATACGACTGTTTAATCGGATCAGTACATGTCTAATAGTTGTCATTCTACGCAGATCGGATGAGCTCCTTGATAGGCCACTGCTGACTTACATGGAATCAGTAAATAGGAAAACATTGGCATCTAAGGTCATTGGGTTCCTCGATTCAGCAAAAAAGGAGAAAATAAACCTCTCACTGTTAATTGGAACAACTATCTGCAGAGTTTTACAAATGAACCTTCCTTTGCAGGATTCAGGCTAAAATGGTTTGGATTGTGACAGAACTTAACCTCGAAAGGTATTGGAAATAGGTTCAACAGTCTATAACTATCTACATTTATCAGTTCTTGTCCAGTAACACGATTATTTTTTGTGAGATCTGGGAAGTTATGGACTTGTAGCTTCATCATCTCCCATCATCCTGATCCGACTGTGTTTAAAGGTTTGATTAACTGAATTTCTGTATCTTGAGTAGTTATTTTGCCCTGGCATATGCTTTAGGGAATATCTAGATTAAAAACAGCTATTAAATAAATTCGTAAGTAACATCAATTTCTACTGATAATTTATTACACACAGCAGAACTTCTTCAATTCTTTACCTTAAGAAGTTACTTTGTCATAAATTGTAGGCTTTAGAAAATAACTGGAATAAAAACAGCTCAATAAATTCATAGGAAGCATAACTATAAGTGTTATATGAATTCGTAAGCAGCATCACAGCTTTTAATGATAAATTCCTTGGTGACACTAGGACGAATCGGTAATTAATTATAATGGATTTTTCCTCTTGTTTTCACAGAATTCTTGTTTGATTTGGGCAAGAGACCACCGTCTTCATCACAAATTCAGCGACACCATCGCCGATCCGCACAACGCAAATAACGGTTTCTTTTATTCTCACATAGGTTCGTTGCTAATGACAAAACACCCAGAAGTAATAAAGGGAGAAAGAGAAATAGATATATCGGATTTAAGATCTGACCCCTGGGTTATGTTTCAGTACAGGTAATTAAATAATTTTTGATGTAATGCTACTTTAGAGAATTGGTAAAATTTATTATTGTTGTTGATTTGTAGATATTTAGTCCCTATACATTTTTTCTTTGCGTCAATAATGACATTTGCCCCTTATTACCTTTGGGGGGAGTCTATAAAGTGTTGCATCGGTGTTGTGTATTTAGCTAAATATGGACTGAACTTGCATGCATCATGGGCTGTGAACAGTGTCGCACATTTTTTCGGCACTAAACCTTATTCTAAGTAAGAACAATCATAAATAGAAAATGTGTTATGTGGGAAATAATTTCTGTTAAAATAATTCTTTTTTTATAGACATATGAGAGCTGTTCAAGTTACTTGGGTATCCGTCGTCCTCGGAGGGGAAGGATGGCACAACTACCACCACTCATTCCCCTGGGACTACAAAGCGGCTGAATTTGAAACGCCGTTCAATTTTACAAGGACATTCATTGAAATCGCTGCTAGCATGGGGCTTGCGTACGACCTAAGATCCGCGACGCAGGATATGGTCAACCATCGCATCAAAAAACACGGGGACGGAACGAAACAAGTAAATTGTGAAGAGGAAAAACAACTAGAAGTAGATGATACGGACTTGTATGGAGAGAAATTTTCTAAATTTACCACAATAAGAAATCGTCAAATCACATCGTAAATTTCGTCACACTTACATCATTGTCATAATCATAATTACTTTTTAATAAATAAATTCATAGTATTTTAACAAAAAAAAACCAATAAATCAACTGTAAATATTGCAGTTCAAATAACCAAAATTAAGGCAAAGATATTTTAACAGAAAATGTTGGTAGATCTCTGTTATGTTATAGATCTTCTTTTAGGTCAATTCTTTTTCCCCTGGTTGTATGATTCGTAAAAGCAGTCATACTGACGATTTCAAAGTCATAGAGTCATTTTTGACGAAAGTATACATATTGATCTAAGGACCGATTCTTGTGGGATAGTTTATTTTAGTACTTCATTGCTTGTCATCTATCGTAGACGTAGACGTAGATGTATTAGTCGGGGTGTAATATACTGCGCCCTTTAGGAGCTATTTCATCCTCCGTCCTGTAAGTAAAGCACACCGGTGAGTCCTACTTCATCAAGGAACTGAGTAGGCCCAGTTTCAGTGGTTGAATCTCTTCTATAGTCACAGTGTACATCACAAAGCACTTCCTCCTGCGTGCACCACACCACAGTTTGTTAGTAGGTGTGTTGGTGTCTCCTCTGCCTCTTTGCAGAGTATGTATGTGCCGTCTTGGATTATTCAATTTTCTTTAAATGTCCATTTGGCTTGCAGTGTCCTGTTACGAATCCTGTTAGGATTCGCAGTTTAATCCTGCTTCCTTTGACACATTGTTTGTAACTTCTTTCCTTTCAAAATTTGTTAGGAGATCCTTGGATTGTCTGTGTCCAATGAGTGAATCCCATTGTTCCTTCATTTTCTTTTTGTCCTTCTGTCTAAGGTACTCATTGATAGTGTGGGTTCCTATGCCACAGAAGAGTTCGGGACATCTATCGTCGAGTTGAAACATTAGATTCACCACTGGAACTCGATCCCACGACTCACGACAGTTTATACCCCTTTGCTCTACCACTTGACTCACGATAGCTCAAGAGGTAGAGTACCGGGGTATAAAGCCGGAGGTCGTCGGTTCGAGTCCTGGTTGTGACTCTGATTTTTCATTCTCAACCTTTTATGCATAAAAGCCAAAATAAAACTGATTAAGATAGCTGACAAAAAATTGTTCTGCCGTATAGATAAGATTTTAACATTTACACTTAAGGCAAAATGTGCGGGACAAAGTCAATGGCTTATATCTAGAAATGTATGAACTCTTGTCACAATACTCCAGAGCCCTTCAAAATATAATTAACAACATTAAAATTGTATGAGATGTGCCCGGTTTCTTTTCTGTTCGCAAGTGCATGCAACAGATATCTCAAAGGTATCGAAATGTTCAACTATATTTTATTTAGGAATTTTTGAAAATACTAGAAAATACAATAATAGATATTGAAGTAGGTCGTAAAGTTATAGTTTTAATGTTTAAGGACACTTCATTGATGAAACGTTCGAAAGTCAATGCATTATACAAATGCGACATCAATATAATTTTTTAAACCCCGCAATCCATGCTCCACGACTTCTCCAGGTATATATAAAGCCTAAGATAAACCATAATATTAATTTTCATTGTATTGAAAAAAAAAATCAAGACGAAGTAAATTTTATTTCCACATAGTTATCACATTTATTTAGAAATCGAGAGATCCGGTCTGGTGTGATGTAGGTTTCAGAAAAACATTTTCTTTATCGTGCCAACGTTTCGATCTTTATTGAGATCATCTTCAGGGCCTGGGATTTACAANCGAAACGTTGGCACGATAAAGAAAATGTTTTTCTGAAACCTACATCACACCAGACCGCATCTCACGATTTCGAAATAAATATCGATTAACGGTCACTAATCACCACACATAGTTATCACAATTATAAATATTGTAAATACAAAATTCTTTACGGAAAATCACGAGCTTCTACCAACTCAATTCAACGTGATCATAACTGAAGCGATTGGAGATTTTTTCCTTTTTTCAATGTGAAATAAATTCCAGAACACAATTTCAAGATATTCTTTTCTAATGGACACAAGTGTTCACACGTAATTTATGCTATTTAAAGAACAAACATATAAAAAAAAAATTTAACAAAGATAACACTTCTATTTTTTTAATATGCGTTTAAATAATTAAATGTAGTATTTTAAAAATTTATACAAAATAAAGTCCAATTCAAATTAAAAAAATCAAAACTCAAGAGCCTCTTCCACCTTTTGCCGGCCTCACTCAACCTCGCCAAGAGCACCCCTGCATTCGGCTTCCCACAACAAAAAATAACAATCTTTTTCTCATATTTTCCATTTGTAACAGCCTGCAATTCTACAAACTATTGAGCCAAGTTAAAGGTCTCGCACACTCGAGAAAACAGCTAACTATTGAACATCTTGAAACGCAGAAATGGGAAAGAACAAGAAAAAGAAGGATGACCGGAAGAATGGTTGCTCACAACTTAGCTACAGGTTCATTACCTCAAAATGAAATCGAACAGTGAGTTATGTAAGTTATGTCACGTGAGGAAAATGCATATCTTGCTTTTTGAAGTAATTTGAAAAAATGTTTACTTGAGATTGAGAGTGATTGAAGACACACTTTCTTCAATTTTTTCAATTTGTACGTAATGTTATGAAGTAGGTAACATACACACACAAAATGTTTATAAATTACAATATTTTTTATATATTTTTATTAAGAATTTTAACCTGAAAGANATATGTAATAGAATAATATAATATGTATAATATTAATATAAAATATTATATAAATAAATTATTATTGTAAGAGTGTATGTACACTTTTTATTTGTAATTTTTATGCGTTTTTTAAAATATAATATATTATATTAATGTTTTTAATTTTACACTTAAAATGTAAAACAATAAAAGAATTATTGTACAAAGTAAGTTCCTCCATCTTAACTCCACCTGCTTAGAGAGGCTGTCAGACAATACGTCGAAATACCTACAGATAACAAAATTATTTTAAAAATTGGCATATCATTAGTAAAAAAATTAAAATCAAACACTACCAATACACTGACAGGTAAAAAATTCCACCCAATTGATTTTTTGGTCGATAAAAGAAAATTCTGTCCTTAATTTGTCTCATTGTTTTTACCAATAAATATTTGTTTATGCTATGTTTTAAATTGGGAATATCAATTAGAGGTAAACACACTTAATCCGTAATCCAAAACAAGGATAAAGGATTTTTTAATGTTTACTTTTTACGGAATTTAAAATGTTTATTCAGTCTCATTTGAATTCTGAAGTAATAAACTGTTTGTTTTCATCTTTGTTTTCTTGGTTGCAATTTTTAAACTTAAAAATGCCACTTAGTGCTGAGGATGTTGCGCGCGGTTTAGCACTTAATGATGATGGACGTTCAATCAAGTATGCGGCTATTGCCAGGAGTTCCCTACGAAATTCTGGGAAACGCCGTTAGACGTTTTCGAGAAACTGGGTCCTATCATAGAAGGCCCGGTTCTGAACGTCCTAGGGTAACCACAGGATGACCGTTTTTGAACTTTCAGAAACACACCTTACTGTTGTCCAAGCGATTCATCACCTTCAAGAAGTTCGAGGTGTCCAATTTGTGATCATACTGCTCTAAGATGATTAACTGGACTGATGACTTTTCGCCCCGTAAGAGGACCAGAATCGACCAGAACACAGAGTTACACGGCTCCCAATTGGTCGAGAACACAGCCATTTTTCTTTGGACGATTGGTCTGCTGTACTTTTTATACATGAGTGTAGATTTGCTCTACGATCTCCAGAGGGGCATGAAAGAGTGTGGAGAAGGCGAATTGAAAGGTACAAAGCTTGTAATTTTTCCCAGAGCCAACGTTTTTAACGTAGTTCAGTATGGAGAGTCCACATAGTTTTTTGTTGTCCGTGGAGGGTCTTTGACGGCCACTCGTTGATGGAATTTTGGCACACCATGCGTTGCCTCTCCTCGATGAAAACAGCGACAATCCCATTCTAATGCACGATAATGCCCGTCCACATGTCGCTCGCATAGTATATAGTACCATAACATCAGGGTCTTAGCCTGGCCAGCCCGTTCTCCAGACTTGAACCTCCTCAAACATTTATGGGATAACCTCAAAAGACGAATAAAAGAACTTCCATCACTTCCTGATATACTCCACAATCTTGAAAAGTCTTCTTGAAGAATGGGGCTAACTCCCAGCAAAGAGACATTTCCCGACTGGTGGAAAGTACGGCGAAGAGGAGAAATTATCTTCCAGATGTAATTAAGGCAAGAGGAGAAAATACGCGATACTGAAATGTTAATCTAAAACAAAATTTAAAAAAATTTATCTGTCCGTCTTTTTTTTTTCATTTTCCTTAGCAATTTACTTTTTTTATTTTTCTGGACAAAGACGTTAAAAAGCCTAAAATTTTGATTAATATATAAAAATATATTCAAATCAAATTATGTTACAAGTGTGTGGAATTTGTTGCCTGCCAATGTATAATTTCAAATGGTGGCCGAAGGGACGGTTATTAATTATTAGCCACTGGTACCGTACTGGTATGCCCACCACCGTTACTTTTCTGCTACCCACTGTCCCGGGCAGCCCTTTGCAACCACTTTCGGACATTCACATTCCACCTCTGCTACCACGCTGAGAATGCATCCAGGGCAGCCCTGGTCCACCACTACTACTATACTGATGTCCACTGCTCCCGTTCCCCCGCAGTCCACTAATCCCCAGAAGCGTTTGTGTATCGCTCAAAGATATCCCCTTTTTACGACTGTTGGGCAAGTGTGTTCCAGCACTGCTACCGTGCTTATCAATGTTACTATGCGGCTGTCTACTAGTCGAAGTCCTAAAATCGATGACCAATTTCATTAAAACATGCTTAACAACATTGAGGTTCATATGCTGACTTTGGCGATTTGGCGGGGCGTGGTGGCCTTATAACTCGTTGGAGGTTTTGATCAATCCATTTCCTGTGAGCGGAAACATCGGTGTACACGCCAGGAGTGTTTTCCAGGCCACAACCTATCCCCGTAGATGAGATTCCTATACAATAGTATAACAATCAACTTTCATGTACTAACATCATGTATAGTAAAGAATTGGAAGATACCTTGCAGGACATAGCGATTATTTAACATCCTTATCAAAGGACCACCACTGTCGCCCTGAAAAATGTCAATAAGTGTTAAAGATAAGAAATTTTCTAATGGAAAAGTTTTTTCTTTTTTTATGGTGGGATGATTAAGAATTTTAAAAATCCCTTCCTCCACTGCGACCTATACAGATCTATTTTGGAACTACCTAAATTGTAGCCATAACTTGGAAAATACACGTTTTCCTATAAGATCAAGGAGTTTTCTCGGTGCTTATTCGCTCACTTCTTTTGGTAGGAGAATTGTCTACCGAAATGGGCCGTAACCGGGCTTGTATCTGCTTTGCCCATCTTCTTTAGGTAATTAAGAGGACAGTGGCTGGTATGGAAGCCTAATTTTTCTCAAATCCTGCCTGGTGAGAGAGAGAGAGATAGAGGAGTTCCGTCGCCTTTCATTTGTAGAGCTTTATAAATCTCTTAGATTGTCTCATAACTGGTGCTTTTCATCAGTGTTTGAATTTTTCTGTCTCAACATTTATCCATTTCCAATTTCAGCATTTCTCAACCTTCCGGTGCACCAATATTGGTTCTGGTCCTGTTGGAGAGAGGAGTGCCCATTTTTTGCTATGTGATCAGCCTGTTTGACGATTTTAATGTGTCAGACGTGTTTTGGCATTTCGCATTCACCCCATAACCGACCAGGAAGAGTAATCTTTGGCCGACATTAAGAGTTATAAAAATCTTAAAATCCCACTACCAATCAGATTTAATAAACTACCTTCTTAATATAAACGTATTACAAATCACCAGCACAACTAAGGATATTTGGGTGATTTGTGAGCATTTTGTCAATTGCCTGCCATCTGGAGGATCAACCTGATACCCATTGTATCAACCAGCATTAGTAGTCATAGTTAGGCATTATGTCTAACTGCCAGTCAGATGTAATGTACCATTTTCCTAATCTTTCATTATATAGTAAATCTCTAGTAAACGAATGAAATCCGGAGATTGATTTGGAGGCATTTTGTCAATTGCTTGCCGTCTGGAAGAATCAACCAGTATCTTCAATATTAAATTCTTTAAAATTATTTAAACACTGGATATCCCTCCATCTCCATTTACACACACTATATAACTAATCGAACTGAGGGTCAATGGGGGTACTCAATATTGGCCATCGGCCCTCTCGCGCTTCACATTCACTCTAATAAGTTCAGTCAACCTTAACAAACACAAAATAAAATATCTATCCGAACTATATACAATAAAACATACACGTTTCCTTCAAAACTCGGAACAATCAAGTTCAAGCACAATTCTATTAACAGATGACATTCCTACACGCTCTCTATATGGAGTCATGGAATGACTCTCTTCAAATGAGCGGACACATCGGGCAACATTTTCTCGGTACGATGTATGCCTATTATTAATCGGGTGGTGATTAATTTAACGGCATTTAAGGGATTTGGCAAAATCTAGCACATAAGGGATATTTAGGTCCAGTGAACAGTGTTATTTCTTACATCTCAGAGACCATTATAAACAAATTTGCAAACCAGCTATGATTATTTAAACAAATGTACTCGTTCTGCAATTCCATTGGTTCTGGTTATTCTAATTTATCATTTTATTTGTCTAAAGTTCGGGGGTTATCCAGATTTTGGAGAGAAAGAATCGATCTTTTTGTCGAACATCTTGTATCTTCATTAGAGAAAAATTGAATTTTTACTTATCATAAATATTTAAGTATGTATTACGTGGCAACCGTCTTGTGCCCCAGACTCAACTCCACCACATAATACGCGTGAAACTCGTTCGACGCTTCTTGCAATATTTGTTTTCATGCACTCCTTTCTAGAGTAAATCTTGATGGCTGCTACGTTGAGTTTGCATGGAGAAGAATTTTGGCCTTTTTCTTCGGTCTTGCCAAAACCGAGAATGAGGGCCAGTTGTGAAGGCCCATTGTCATCTGTTAAATGTACTTTGTAATTAGAAAAAACTTAAGTTATTTATAATTAAAATATTGATTAAAATTTTACTTGGGAGTGCAAGGCAGATGGGTTTGAAGATGACGTGATCCTGGAGAGTAGCGACGGCAATGTCGTTATTAAAAGTTACATTATTGTACTGAGGATGCACCTGGACATGTATTATCGGAGAAGAACTTTTAAAATCACGGGTGCATCTTTCTGTCATTTGGAATACTGCGGATAACTGACTCATCCAATTGTGACGTTTCTTCTTCCTAAATTACAAAAGAAAACTTATAATTACAATGATTATTGTAACTAAAACATACAAATTTCGAGGAGAATTTGAGCTTTTTCCATCTCCTTTCGCACCCACCAGACTATTTTTGGTGCACGTTTGTAACCGACCTTCTCATGCCGAAATTGATTTGCACTTACCCATCTTCGTAGCAATGAGCTGCAGTTAAAAGTTTATTCGATGTGACTAAAGAAGCCCCACAAACAACGTGTAATTTTCCTGAATTTGATTTGAGTTGATAAGCCATTACAAGGGCTGTGTAGAAAGGAAACAGATCTGCATCTGTCTCAGCTCCACCGACGATTCTACTGTGCACATCCTCTTCATTACAGCTGATGTTTTCCGTTAACAATCCCTCTGAAAATAAAAACGTATGAACTTTACATGCTTAGAAAATAATGAAATTGTGAAAAATTGTAATAAAGCTAGCCGTCTTTTACACGAACAGCCCGGTTCATCCAAGTCAGAATTTGTCAATCAGCCATAATTCATAGGCTAATGCATGGACTAGCGAATATCATACTTGTACAAAAAAAGAGCGAGCTTCGAGAGGAACCCATGACCCAAAATGTCAGATTTGATTTAAAAAAATTAAATTACAACGCCGATAGAGCAGAGTGGGAGAAAGAAATGTCAGTTTATGCCGTTAAATCTGGTGTACAGATTATATATAAGACCGAAAATGGTCAGTAGCTGGTATCTATAGAAATAAACGAAGAACTAGAATTGTATAAATCTTGTGCAAAATGTCTTTACCCTCTTTCAGGTGGAGATTGTGGCGATTCAACACTCTACTAAGAGAATAAAAGACTCGGTATTTCGGACAAAAGAATCTCATTCGTAGAAAAGAACCGTTTGGCATTGCATCCAGACATTATCAGACATTGAGGACAACAACAATGTTAGGAATGTTCGGGTGGATAGAGAGGTTGGTGTGAAACACTTGCAATCGGGAACGGATCAATTGGATTGGAAGGATTGGATGCGCTGGTTGTTCGATGGCTTGGCAGAACACCGCAGTCTCACTCCTAATGTCCAAAGTGGTCGCAGTAAAGTTTTGCAGAAGATGAGTTTAAGGTCAAGTCAGATTTTGATCCTAAAACTCTTCGTAGTTTTTTAAGTCTTCTGTTGATATGTCTCTTAAGTCTTGTGTGGGGATTCCATGTCAGTCAACTAGTCTAGGTACAGTCCTACAGTTGAATGGAAGTTGGTATCTCTTTGTTGTTGATGTACAACAGACCTGTATTTTCAATGTGAACGTGCACTGAGTACATTTTTCTTCATTCAGTCTCGTCCTCTACTTGGCACCAGTCTTCAATAAGCTCAAGGTGTTTTTGGATGTTGGAGATAGCTTGGATAGGATTCGAGTTAGAGGACAAAATTGCTGTTCGTCCGCGTAGATAATGATGACACTATTATGGTGCATAGGAAGATCAGCAGTTTAAATCATACAAAGGATGGGACGAAGAATGCTCCCTTGTGGGACGCCGGTTTTTATAGATCGGTTTCCTAGAAGTTTCATTGTAAATTCTGGTGGTTCTTCATTATCAGGAACTGCTACATCTGGAACATCCCGGATTTTTCCGATGTTGTATATAAAAAGCAGTTATTTCTCAAAAATGTGTTTCAAGCTCAAACTTCTCTTGCGAGTGCACTACCTATTTGTATCATTTCAATGATCAGTTATTTCTTTCAATATTACTGAACTCAGGATCTCTGAGGAAACTAATACTCCGTTTGTTGGACGATTTTTTTTTAAATAACGAAATTTCATGGCCAATTGCATTGATGTGTGCGCAGATGGTGCAAATGCAATGACTGGCTGACGACCGGAGTGATTACTAAACTAAAAAATCAAAGGATTGCAGCAGCAGTCATTGTACTCTCTAGAGACATGCTTTATGAAACAAATGTCAGCCTCTTTTAAGATACTTTTGGCTGAGTTTTTTCTAATTATTAATTATTTCAAGTCGCGGCCATTGAAGTCAAAACTTTTCAAATACTATGTGACAATATTGGAAGCCAAGACCATTCCCTGCTTTTCCCTGCTCATGCAGAAGTGGTGGAAAAGCACTTTTACGATGACAGGAATTACGTTCTGAAGTCTTTTTTGATGGACCACAATGTCAAATTGACCAATGTTTTCAATGATGAGAAATGGCAATGTATACAGTCGTATATATCAGATATTTTCGTGATAATGAATGAGTCTTTCTTTGCAGGGAAGAGTATCACAATTTCGTTGCTAATGGCAAAGTTTACGGCTTCAAAAGAAAAATCCAGTTTTGGATTGAATCTTAAGAAGGAAGAGGTGGAGCGTTTTCCTTGTTATATGATTTTGAGGTTGTGAATGGTTGGTTGATGAAATATGAGAGATACATTGCTGCAAGACCAGGATCGGGTGGTTAAACCGTTTTTAGTTTCGATATAGCCAGCAAGTCTATCATGAGGGAATATCACATTGACTTCATAGGCATTATTCAGACTTCACCTTGAAATCTACTTTAGAGTCCGATAACTTTGGCCCATTTATCTCTCCGTCTGAGAAACAAAAAAATTCAACCGCTTTTTCAAATTTCAAAAATTTCAAGCAAAACATGTTCTTCTTCCATTTGCCACAACTTACCTATGCGAATCCGGGTTTTCTATCTACATAGCCAGTAAAATTAAATACTGAAGTTGAACCCGACATCCGCCCCGGCTATCAAAAATTAAAGCCAACATATCCAAATTTTGCAGGCTAAAACAGCCTCACTCTTCCCATTAATTCATTAATCATTAATGTTTGGCTAGAGTTTTACCTATCTATTGATCCCGTTCTGTCTAATTTGATTTTTGAGTTTCGGATTTTCTAAATAAGGTTAAGTATGTCAATTTAATTTTATTTTTTCATAACTTTCCATCTCCTAATTAGGAATATACTGGGTAATTTATAAAACTTTAATTTATTACATACTATAAATATCAGATTTTAAATACTTAAATGAGAGGGATCCGCCCTAGATTTTGTTCTGTGAAAGGCGTCCGCTGGCTAAAAAGTTTGGGAAGCCCTGCTCTAGAGAAAAAAACCATAAGCATAACAAAGTGCTGCTTATATTTTTTCATTTCACCATCGATAATCCAGTCTATAATCCGATTCAAATGCTGGTTGAATTTTATATAATGTGAAATATGTATTAAATAAATTTATATGTGAAATACTTTATTTATTAGAAATCGTGAGATGCGGTCTGGTGTGACGTAGGTTTCAGAAAAACATTTTCTTTATCGTGCCAACGTTTCGATCTTTATTGAGATCATCTTCAGGGCTCAAAGTGTTTGTCTTCTGTGTAATTGTGCCATTCTTGCGTGTCGTGTCGAGAGTGCCGATTACTTTATTTATTAGCATTGTCTAAAATAGAACGAAAAATATTTTTTTTTATCTTAAAAATAAATTTTAAAAAACATCAGGGTTAAATTTATAATAATAATAAACTCTCAACACGACACGCAAGAATGGCACAATTACACAGAAGACAAACACTTTGAGCCCTGAAGATGATCTCAATAAAGATCGAAACGTTGGCACGATAAAGAAAATGTTTTCCGAAACCTACATCACACGAGACCGCATCTCACGATTTCTGAATAATAATAATAAAATGGTTAAATGCCTCCAACCTAAACAGTTATGTTCAAACAAGAAAATTATCTAATTGAAACTAAAAAACTGTATCATAAATACATGATAAACTAATGACAGTTATATTTTATTACTTTGAATTTACCTCATACTGTGAGTGTCTAATTTTCAATACTTGAATGAGAGGGATCCGCCTTGGCTAAAAAGTTTGAGAAGCCCTGCTCTAGAGAAAAAAAACCATAACTGTTTTTTTATAAGCATAACAAAGTGATGCTTCTATTTTTTCATCTCAACAACGAAATCAAATGCTGGTTGAATTATATGTAAATGTTTAAATGCCTCCAAACTAAACGATTATGTTTAAACAAGAAAATTATTAACTAAAACTAAATAAATGTATCATAAATACATGATAAACTAATGACAGTTATATTTTATTACTTTAATTTACCTCATACTGTGAGTGTCTCATTTTAAATACTTGAATGAGAGGGATCTGTCCTGGATTTTGTTCTGTGAAAGGCGTCCGCTGGCTAAAAAGTTTAGGAAGCCCTGCTCTACAGAAATAACCATAAGCAAAAAAAGTGCTGCTTATATTTTTTCGTCTCACCATCGGAAATCTAGTCTGTATTCCAGTTCAAATGCTGGTTGAATTATGTGAAATATGTATAAAATAAATTTATAAATGAAATACTTTATTTATTAGTATTGTCAAAAATATAATACAGTATATTTCTTTAACTTAAACATACATTTAAACACCAAGGTTAAATCTACAATAATAAAATGTTTAAATGTCTCCAACCTAATCGATTATGTTTAAACAAGCAAATAATTAAACGGAAATTAAAAAAATGAATTATAAATAAACTAATTACAATTATATTTTCCTTATTTTACCTGGTAATACCAGAGCGATTAACAAAGCGCATAGTTTTCTCATGTGTGTGGACTAATAAACCGATTTTGTCAATAGCCTCTTAATTTATAACGCCTCCTTCTCCTTCGTTATTTACCGATACTGTTAACATATGTTCTCTCCAACGACTATTTAATGTCAATTGAAGCGAATTTCTTCATTTGTAAGCTATCAATAAAAGCTCAATCAAATTTATGAAACAATAACAGTAAAGAACATATTGAACTTAACAGTCTATGCGTCTAATTAGAACTTGGTATTTCCTCTTTGCTTCTTGCTATAATAATCAAAAGTTATTTTTATATTATACATATTCTTAGGTCCAATAGTCATTTATAAGAAACCAAGAAGATAATTGACTTTTCAACTTTCATTAAATTTCATCGATTGATTTACTTGAATCTTGAGAATATCATTGGAAGGTACACATTTTATGATCGAGCTGCTGCACTTAGAAGATTCGTCTCCTTCCACACAATTTTCACAGCGTACTTGTACATTGAGTTACTATGTGGCCATACCTAATGCAATCTGACCCCTTAATATAAACAAAATCGAATTAGTAGCGATATATTTGTCTCCATTGTTCTCTGATTTTAGTGATCTATTTAATCTTTTCATATCCAAAATATCTAAGGTTTCTCCATAAGGAGTTTTTATATTGTCTTTATTTTCTTCCTGTGTGACTTCCTTATGAACTGCTTCAATTAGACATGTTCTAATTTGAAGATACGAAGGTTTCAATAGTTTATTGCATTTATTTCTCAGATTTTCGATTATTGAGTATCACAGATAATCTGTTTCTTTCTACTTTTGAGATCGACTTGACTTTATCTGAAATATCTTTCGCTGTGAACTAATCATCCTATAAAGTATAAACCATAGGATGCATACGGGAAATTCCATTGACATCTTCATTTTGACTTTATATCACGATAAAATGTGTGCCAGGGTCTGTAGTGCGGTTAATTTTACCTTTAAAATGTGATTAACAATTTATTTTATCATACAAGTTTTTATACAAAGTAATTCCTCCATCTTACCTCCACCTGCCCAGGCTGGTTTTCAAACAATAAGTCGTAATATCTATCGATAACACAATTATTTTATTAAAAATTGGCATATCATTAGTAAACAATTTAAAATCAAATACTACATATATAATTTAAGTATGAATTTTTAGTGGACAAAGAGACTATTAATTATCAGCCACTGATCCCATACTGTTACTGACTACCACCGCTACTATACTTCTCTCCACTGATCCCGGGCAGCTGGCCTCCACTGCCCCCGGTCAGTACTAGTCCACCACTGCTACTATACGGATGTACTATGATCCCGGGCAACGGGTATGAACTGCTCTGGGACGACACCGGTCCACTAATGTCATAATAATTATAGCCACCGCTCCCAGGGGGTCGGCTTCCACTGCTCCCGGACAACACCGGTCCACTACTGCTACTATACACATACCCACTGCCCCCGGGCAACCGCTGTCCACTACTGCTACCGTACTGATGTACACTGATCACGGGCATCGAATGTGAACTGCTCTCGGGCATCCCCGGTTCATCAATGTTAACATAATGATACCCACTGCTCCCGGGCACCCCCTGTCCACCACTGGTACTATACTGATGTACACTGATCACGGGAATCGGGTGTGAACTGCTCTGGGGCAGCCCCGATCCATCAATGCTAACAGAATGATATCCACTGCTCCCGGGGAGCGAACCTACATTGCTCCCGTACAGCACTGGTCCATTGCTGCCACTGATCCCTGGCAGCGGGACTTGAGTGCTCCCGGACAGCACCGGTCTACTACTGCCACTGCTCCCGTGCTGTCCACCATGCGGTCGTCTACCAGGCCTGAAAACGAAACCAATTTCATTAAAACATGCTTAACAACAGTGAGTTTTATTTGCTGACTTTGGTGATTTGGAGGGGCGTAGTTTTATAACTCGTTTGAGGTTTTCGTCAATCCATGTCCTGTGAGCGGAAACATCGGTGTACACACCGGGAGTGTTTGCCCGACCACAGCCTATCCCAAAAGATGTTATTCCTATACAACAGAATTTAATAATCAACTTTAAAGTACTAACATCCATTATAGTAAAGTATTGAATGTACCTTGCAGGACAAGACTTTTATTTAAAAGCCTTACCATAGGACCTCCACTGTCGCCCTGAAATATGTCAATAGGTTTTTAAATATAAGCAATTTTAAACAAGAAATTTTTAATTTATTAGTTTTTCCCGGGTAAATCTTTAATTCAAGTTTATTGACGAATGCAAAAATACTAGTAGTTTGGTGTGTCAGACGTGTTTCGCCATTCCGTCTTCATCGTGATGACTTTGGGTTTTATTCGATAAACCTTCGGTAAGAAACGGCCAATGCAGTTCCAATAGAAAAAACATTCAGAAAACTAACATTAACTATTTTAAAGAACATTTTAACTTTAACTAAAGATGTCTACCGAGGAAAATCTTACTTCAACCGCCCAATCTACCAGTCAGATTTAATAATCTCCTTCTTACTTACAAGAAAACATCAGCATAGCGAAGGAAATTCGGTGTTTGATTTGTGTACATGTGTACATTTTGTCTATTGCCTGCCAATTTTATCTAACCTGGTCGATGGGGTACTCAATTTCGGCCATTGGCTCTTTCGCACTACACATTCAAACTTATAAATGCCTATCAGGTGACATCCCTACACGCTCTCTAGATGGAGTCAAGGAACATCCTTTAAATAAGGGAGGGCCCATCGACCAACCTTTCTCTGCATGATAAAGCCGCGGGCGTTGGCCCAAAAGCAAGAGTTCATTTGAAAGTATTGTATGGCCTACTGTTAGGTGATTCTTCTGCGATTCAGAGAGCTGTTTAGAGAAAGTTTAAAGTGGGAAAAGATGATGAATTAATTAAGGTAAAGTGATCATTTTGAATCACGAATTTTGAACGGCGAATTGCAAGCATATCGCTCCGACCGATTCAGACGATTTACTGAATCACTAACAACAGAAAACAAATCTCTCTGGGCGGCAGCTAAAAATCTTCTATCTTACCACAAAATATCTCCCCCGCTTCGCCAAGTCGACGGCAGTTGGGCCAAGTCAGATGAGGAAAAAGCGAATGCTTTTGCCGCTTACTTGAACACAGTGTTCACCCCACATGTCAACATAATAGACCATACTTATTCAGAACTTATCAATGAATATTTACGTTCACCGATTCCATTATCCCTCCCTCCAAAAGCTTTTTCACCTTCTGACGTTCATTCTACCATACAACACCTAAAATCCAAGAAAGCCCCAGGTTTTGATCTTATTACCCCAAAAATTCTCCAACACCTTCCCAAAAAGGCCATCATATTCATTACATACCTATTTAATTCTGTTCTTCGTACAACCTACTTCCCTATAGCTTGGAAACACTCGTATATTCGAATGTTCCCTAAGCCAAAAAAGCCAACACATTGTACTACTTCATACAGGCCAATAAGTCTACTACCTACGTTGGGTAAAATTTTAGAAAAACTCCTACTGAAAAGAATTCTTCCGATTCTAAATTCTCAAAACATAATCCCAGCTCATCAATTTGGTTTTCGCAACCGCCACTCAACTGTCCAGCAGTGTCACCGCGTGGTAGACATTATTTCATCCTCCCTTGAGATGGGACAGTACTGTTCCGGAGCCTTTCTTGACGTAAGCCAAGCTTTTGATCGAGTTTGGCACCCGGGCCTGCTGTTCATGCTCAAGGACATCCTTCCATCCACCTACTATCTCGTACTGCACAGTTACCTCACTGACCGATTCTTCCAAGTCATCGAAGGCCATTCCCTCTCTTCATATTTTCCTATCCATGCTGGTGTCCCTCAGGGTAGCGTTCTGGCCCCTACACTGTACCAGGTTTTTACAGCTGACATGCCATCTCATCCCGAAACCACCACATTCACATTCGCAGACGATACGGCAATTCTCTCTAGCAACTCCGATCTTGTCATTTCACTCGAAACCTCCAACTACACATCATACTACTAGAGTCTTGGTGTAAAAAGAAAAGGATAAAATTTAACACAGAAAAATCCACCCACATTACCTTTACTCTTCGTAAAAAGATCTCCCCTCCTGTTTACTTAAACAATACTCCCCTCCCAACTGCGGACAAGGTGCGGTACCTCGGATTGTACATCGACAAACGCCTGACTGGCATCCTCACACAAGACTGAAACGTCAGGAGGTTATGACACGATTTAGAATTCTTGCACGACTTCTTGACAAACGCTCTAATTTACCTCTCAAAAATAAAAGGCTGCTTTACAACACCATAGTTAAGCCGATTTGGACTTACGGACTGGAAGTGTGAGGTTCAGCCAAACATTCCAATATCCACCGCATTCCAACTGCCCAGTCTATAATACTACGAAAAATACTAGATGCTCCATTTTATGTGTCGAACCAAACGACACATACAGATTTACATATTCCTTTCGTACAAGATGAAATACGTTTCCGTTACCGTAAATTTCATAAAAACCTCCCAACTAACGTAAACCAACACATCAGAAACCTCGCATCCCGACGAATCCCCTCAAACCCTCCCAGACGACTGAAGAGACAATGGCCGCGAGATCTCCTAGGAAGTGATGACAGTGAAAGTGATAATGACACACGTATCAATTGAACAAACAATATTATTGTAACATTGGAGTAATACCAATGGGTGTTTTCTACACTCTTGGTTTTAATTTTGTTTTGTTTTAATTACCTTTCTCACTGTTACTTATTACCTACTTTAAAGTAGTTGTAATGTACAACAAATTTAAAAAAAAATGGCATTTAAGGTATTTGGCAAAATCTAGATGATAGGGGTTACTTAGGTAGAGTGAATAGTGTTATTTCATACGTCGCTTACCTCCAAACGAGCATTATAAACAAATTTGCGAACCAGATATGATCAGTAAAATATAAAAATGTGCTCGTTCTGCAATTCAATTATTTCTGTTCATTCGAATTTATCATTTACTTTTTTTTTAAGTACAATTACGCCTATCCAAACCTTGGAGAGAAAGAGTCTAATCTGCTTGTAGTGATATATTGTATCTTCATTAGATAAAAAACTGAATTTCTACTTATCATAAATATTTAATGGCAGCCGTCTTGTGCCCCAGACTCAACCCCGGCACATAGTACGCGTGAAACTCGTTCGACGCTTCTTGCAACCTTTGTTTTCTTGCACTCTTTCATATCGTAAATCTTGATGAGTGCCATGTGGAGTTTGCAAGGTGCAGAATTTTCTCCTTTTTCTACTGTAATGCCATAACCGAGAATGAGGGCCGGTTTTGAAACACCATTGTCATCTGTTAAATATACTTTGTAATTAGAAAAATTTTAGGTTGTTTATAATCAAAATATTGATTAATATTTTACTTGGAGGTGCAAGGCAGATGGGTTGGAGGAGGACGTGGTCCTGGAGAGTAGCGACGGCAATGTCGTTATTGGTAGTTTCAGTATTATACTGAGGATGCAGTTGGACATGTATTATCAGGGAATAACTATTATAATCGCGGGTGCATCTTTCTCTTAGTTGGAATACTGCGGATAACTGACTCATCCAATTGCGAGGTTTCTCCTCCCTAAAGAACAAAAGAAAACAATTAAAATGATCGTTATATCGAAAACATACAAATTTCGAGAAGAATTTGAGCTTTTTCCGTCTAGTTTTGGTGCACATTGATTTGCGCTTACCCATCTTCGTAGCAATGAGCAGCAGTTAAAAGCTTATTGGATGTGACTAAAGCTGCCCCACAAACAACCGTCAATTTTCCTGAATTTGATTTGAGTCGTGAAGCAGATACAAGAGCTGTATAGAAAGGAAACTGATCTGCATCTGTCTCATTTCCGCCGATGATTCTGCTATCCACATGCCCTTTATTACAGTCGTTTTCAGCTAAAATTCCCTCTGAAAGTAAAAACGAAAGAAGTTGACGTATTTTGAAAAAAATGAATTTGTGAAAAACTGTGGTAAATCGAGCTGGTGCGATTCTTTAGCTCGGATCATCCACGTCGTATTTTGTCTCTCAGTTGTTAGTCTATGAATTATTGTGTCATACCATATTAAATTATGACCAATTGTGGTGAAGTGATTCAGGTGCTATGCCCAAGAACAGCTCAGATCTTCCAAGTCATTATTTGTCTTCCCGAGAGTTGCTACTGTATTAGTAGAGCTACTGTAGAGTACTACGTTTGTCATCCACGCCATCATCAGTTTGTACATTATACAAATATAAATATGCATTACACTTGTACATCAAATAATTCCCTTTTATATGTTTTTTTCTTTCTATAATACCCCTAATCCAATTGTTAAGCGACCCGCGACGAATGGCACTGGGGTGATAAAAATTAGTGCCTCAAACGGGCACCGGCCTACACCCTGTTGTATCTAGGCTTACCCCAGCATGCGGGGCTTTGCTGAGGCTGAAATCTTTATCCCTAGCTACTCGTGGAAACCATGGAACCTAATATATAAACAATAACACAACCACCAAGGTTAGGCCCAGAGGCCACCCAACGAGGCAGAACCCCTGTTGAAGGAGGGAGTAGAATATGTGAATGCGCGATGGACAACAATTTCGTCTGACGCCGAAAAAGGAAAAGAAGCACGATAAAAAGTCAACTCATGTGACAAAGCCTGTTCGAAATCTGAGAAAAAAAGGCCAAGGTCGGAAGAAGCACCCCCAAAAGCAAGTGCCAAAAAAGCCAAGCCCCTCCAAGAAGGAGATATCCCATAAGGGGGCCTTGACACAAGTAAAAATATCAGTGGTACAAAAGGCTACCTGGTAAACCAGATGCCACCCGAAAGGCTTGACACCCTTGAGGATGCCATAATGCTGGCCAATGAAAAAGTATTGGCCGGAGAATCGCCGACGTTAGAATTAAAATTCAACAAATGCACACACAGGTCAGACTATATGGTATAGCCTGTGAGGATCAGGTTAATGCTGACTGGCTAAGGGAGACAGTCCCAACAACGCGCTGAAGCCGTGGAAGGATGCAGTCTTCGACACTTGGGAGGGGGAGGACATACCCAAGCCAATTGCCTGTAGTACCTACATACCGGATCCCAAAACCGTAAGACTGACGGCAGAGAGAATTGTGGCAAGTGTGGCCAGGCTAAAGTACTCAAACCGGAAGCTAAATACACACCTAGGGACTATCTGGGGAGAAATCTAACAGTAGAAAGGTACCTTGTGGACCTCCTCCATGGGCAACGACTCCTTTCAGAAGCTCCAGAAAGTGGACATGCACCCCTATTTCCCAAGAGAAGAACCGTGCCCACCCAAGTTGCTGGATGACATCGTAAGGTAGGGAACAAAACATGAAACAAACTACAAAACATGGGATGTAACGCAAATGCCCACCATACTATATCAGTAGTACCGATATCAACAACCGAGGTGAGTCCTTACCAGATTACCTAATTGATGAAGGGTTAAATATTGCTAACATAGGCACAGAAGCCACCTTCATCACCCGATATAGGCAAGAAGTCTTAGATATGACAATAACTTACAAGGGGCTGATGAGTACATCTTAAACTGGAATGTATCCAGGAAACCATCAAATTCTGATCACAGGCACATCAAAATTGATTTGAACACTCCCTCCCTCGTAGAACTTCTAAACAAACTCCTACTGGTACACTGACGGCTTCAAAACCGACTAGGGTACAGGAGCTGGAGTCTTCGGGATGAACCCAAAGACTGAACTAACGATAAACCTAGATAAATATGCTACAGTCTACAATGCGCCAGAAAAATAAAAAGGCTAGGAATACATTCCCGGAAGAAACTTGAGGAAACTTACAAAGAAATTACTTACTGGATGGCAACCCAACCGAACCAAGATTCTGGTTGGACTCCGGACAGGACACTGCCATTTAAGAGGCCACATGCACCGGATAGGAGTCCCGACAGAAGAAACACTGTGCGGATACTGCCAGGAAGAGACATTCTGTGATTCTGTGAAGGTATATGTAGGTGCAGGTTCTTGAGACTAAGACAAGAAAAACCACAAGAAAGATTCTACACTAATGAGCCGCTGGCAAAGCTGTGGAGGCTGATTAACAACCTGAAGCTGGCCAGTGAGTTGTAAAAAACAGGGGAGATCAATAGATCTATTCAGGTCGAGGTGCAGAAGGCCTTGTGGTCGCCTCTTTCATCCCTATCCCTACCCTAAACATTATCTAAAGGTTTCTAAGGATATTCAATTTCTAAAATGTCATCTCCTATTATAAATTGCTACGCGCATCTATTCATTTCCTTGATTTTAAAAATACATTGAAAACTGTGAAACTGAAGAACGAGGGTACTTAACTTTTTTTCGTCTCACCATCGACAATCTAGTCTGCATTCCAGTTCAAATGCTGGTTGAATTATATATAATGTGAAAAATATATAAAATAAATTTATAAATGAAATACTTTATTTATTAGTATTGTCTAAAATATAATACAATATATTTCTTTTAACTAAACATAAATTTTTAAAAAAACACCAAGGTTAAATCTACAATAATAAAATGTTTAAATGTCTCCAACCTAAACGATTATGTTTAAACAAGAAAATTATTAAACGAAAACTAATTAAATCTATCATAAATAAACTAATTACAATTATATTTTCCTTATTTTACCTGGTAATACCAGAGCGATTAACAAAGCGCATAGTTTTCTCATGTGTGTGGACTAATAAACCGATTTTGTCAATAGCCTCTTAATTTATAACGTCTCCTTCTCCTTCGTTATTTACCGATCTGTTAACATACTGTTCTCTCCAACGACTGTTTAATGTCAATTGAAACGAATTACTTCATCTATAAGAGCTAAATAAAGAGGCAATAAAATTTTTATAACATTAAAATAGAACATACTGAACTTAATGGTCTAAGCATCCAATTAGAACTTAGCATATCCTCTTTGCGTCCATTTCTTAATTTTAATGCCGTGCCTTAATCTTAATCTCAGTTAATTTTATATTATACATATTCTTAGGTCCAATAGTCATAAGATAATTGGCTTTTCAACTTTCATCAAATTTCATCGATTGATTTACTTGAATCTTGAAAATATCATTAGCAGGATTTTTCAATTTTGCTTTTTTTCTAATAATTGCTATTGGTAGATTTAGATTAGGCATACTTTTTTATGACATTTATTATTTACAAATACAAATATTGTTTTAGGTAAATATTTTCTATTTGTGTTTAATTTGCGTTTGAGCCACTTGTAGGAGAAGTTGATTAGTGACAATGCTCATTCACACTGAAACCTCGTCATTCTTCACATCTCAAGTATCTCCACTTTCGCTTCAATAATCCACACGGAAAAAAGGTTTGCTTTTTTTCTAAATATCTACTTCAATTTAAATCGCGTTTGTAACCTTTGCACAAGAACGCAAAAATATATTACGTCTGTTGTCGTTTTTTTAATTCTACTACATATTTGTGACCACTTGTGTCAACAGGAACAGTAAATGTTGAAATACGTGATTACGTTGTCTTCAATTCATTCACCAATCGAAGTCGAACAAGTATTAAAAATCTTTTCACCTCCGCGCGAACATTTGGCATCGCAGTTAAGCTGTGAACAAATTTAACTGATAATTTTCAAATTTAAATCAGTACAAAATAATGTTCGTACACACGTATATGGGCCTACCACTTCTCGCAGCTCGGCGGAAATTCCAACTTTTGTGTAATTTACAATAGGTTATAGATAAATACAATAAATTATTCCATGGAAGTGTTACTCAGCCGGAGAATCGTCAGTAAGTAAATACTAGGTCGAATAGAAACAACAATAGCTGGGGGGAAAATTTTTTTTTTTCAAGGTTTGTTTTACTTTTGTGATGGAACTCCATTATCAAATGTTGAATGTCAATAAAGACTTTAGTTCCAAATATTTACTAATAAACGTTTGGAACTAAAGGCTTTATTGACATTCAAGCTTTGAAGATGGGAAAAAACTGAAGGCAGGCAAGTAACATAAAGTAACATCAGCCTAATTTCCGGGAGACGAGGACCACCCTCCCCCATCCCAAGAGAATTTATTCGAACCCACATCATCAATTTTATACAGTATATCATTTATATTTGTATTTTATTTAATACAAATTACTCGTATTAAAAATGTACCTTGCATATAAAGAGGTGCTGGATGTCATAACCAAATGCAAACCAGATCAATTAAAAGTATACCTCCTCGATTTATTCCAAAATAATAGAGAAAGAAAAATTCCCCCCTCCAAAAAAAAAAATCAAAATCAATGACAGATTAAGTAAAATGGCTCTGTTTGTTATATTTAGTGCTCAATAGACGTCTGGAGAGTAAAAGTAAGTTATTAGCGAGAGTGGAGAGGGTTCAACCCCGCCCCGAGGAATATCGAGTTCTGTGGAGGAGTGAAAGTGACCAGACCTCTATGTTCCTATCGAGTGTTGTGTTTGTGTTAATTTATCGGAATGAATGTAATTTATTAGCGTGAAAGGAAGGGGTTGCTTATAACCCGCCCCGAGGAATATCGAGTACTCTGGGGGAATGAATGTGACCAGACAATTTTTACATTTAAATTGTTTATAAATCCCAGGCACTGAAGATGATCTCAATAAAAGATCGAAACGTTGGCACGATAAAGAAAATATTTTTCTGAAACCTACATCACACCCGACCGCATCTCACGACATCTGAATAACTATCGATTAACGGTCACTAATCTCTACACGTAAATAAAAATATACTCAAGGGAAAAAACCGGCGCTAGGTATTTTGTTGTTAATTCGAACTATGTATTTGGAATTTGGAAGAAACAGGGTTGTCTTAGTGTATATATGTATTGTATTATATACTTATTGTATATTTATCTTATTGTATATATGTAAAAATAAGTATGTTCAACCAGACTGCTTTTTCTTCATCGGATGCGTTTTATATACGTCAACCAGAAAATTCTGTTACCCAACTTGAATGTTGTAAGCCGATTTCAAGGAAATAAAGGAAAAAATAAAAGAATAATTAGAAAATGTATCGATAGTTGGCTTTTCCTGTTAATAAGCTATTTTACATTTGAGCATTTCATTAACAACCGTGATCGTCAATATTCATCATGGGCTTCTACGACAAACTCAAGGCCTGCTAATTAAGGTATGACCTGCTTAAACAATAGAGTATTTATCAATAGAGTAAAAAATTCATGAAAATACGTTCTTTCTTTAATGTTCAGGGGTGATAGAGCCAAAATACCTAAAATGGTTGTACAAGGTACAAGGTAAAATAACTGCTTATTAAGAGATGGATGAAAATCGACCGCCAGGGAAGGGATTAAAAATTAAATGACAGGACAGGTTTAAACAGTTTGAAATTGTTTGAAACTCCAGCAAGCTTAGTATTTAGTGCCACGCAGGTACACTGACTGCAACGAAAGAATGTACAAAGATAACCACAGAAATTATTCAAAACCCCGTACACGAGTACGTATTAACTTTGAGATGCATTCAATTCATCAAGTCAGAAAATACATAAATATAAAAATCTTGGAGCCGCGTGATACTTGGATATCATCAGTTCGAAGTTGGTTCTGAATTCCAAGACCATCAAGCAGATTGGAAAAGCGAAAAAACCACAGGGTTCTAGTAGTAGGATTTGAGAAATGAATAAACAGAGCAGGCAATCAATTATCAGAGAATTTTTAAAAAAAGGATGTAAGTTGGAGAACACCTAATTTTGCCCTTCAACCAAAGCTGAAATCATATCTAGAAAATCATCAGAGCATTGATCTTAAATATCATCTCCAGAATTTACATTTCATATCGAATCTTGATAGAAAATTATGAAACAAATCTTTTTCTCGTCGTATTTTTATTTTTTTAATTAGTTTTGATTACAATCTGCAATTTTTAGATGTAAAATGTAATTTGAGCTTACATATTTACTATGTATATTGTTACATTGAGCGGAGCAAATAACCAACATTATTTTTCTATTTCATTTCATTAATTACAGTTTACTGCCTCAGAGGATAGATTCTGTTGGACAAGGCATGGGCAAAACTCGTGAGGTAATGGAAAGTTTATTGCGGTATTTAGTAAATTTTGGATAAATCAATTTTAGAATTTTAAGGTGCTGTGGAAAGCACTATTTGAGACATAATGTAGAGAAATTATAATTGATCTGAGATCTTAAGATAGAAAAGCCTCCAATGTTGGATTCGGAAGTTTTACCAGTTCCCCACAGTTCTATTCCATACGTCCAAATCGTTGTAATAACGTTTTTTCGAATCTAAGTTTGTTTTTCCCGTCGATAGCTTGGATTGATGTCCTATGAGTACGTAGAGTAGACGTAGCGTCTGTTTTGGTCTTGTCGTTTCACTCGTTTGCATACAACGTGGCGTGAGCCTAGGTTTCCACCTGCAGTCAGATTTCATGATAGGAACAGATTTTTAGTAGATTGTGAGAGGAGATGCTTCGTAGGATGGACTCGCTACATTTCTTTTCTAATTTAATGCATTTATTACAATCTGTAACCTTATGTAATAAGCTGGGTTTACAAATGACATAGACCATGTGTCGGAAGTAGAGTTAACAATTATTGTTGTCGCGAGGTGATCACTTCAGTCGTCCGGCGGGATAATATGGATGTTTCTATTGCATAGGATTGGGCAACTCAATTGGGGTGAGTTTATTGTGGAAAGTGGAAATTTTGGGTATTATTTGCCCGAGAGGATTTTGAGGTCATTGTGAAGGGTGAGGTTGGAGACGTAGTAAGGAGCATTGACTATGGTTCTGAGGATTTTGGGATAGAAGGACAGTATTCTTTGGAGGTTTAGCAGTGGCCCACAGTTCTAGTCCGTACGCCCAGATTGGTTTTAGTATTGCTTTGTAGGATGTTATGGAGGTTGTAAAGTTAATTGATTATTATTAGTTTACATTCACCAATTATATATTTTTTTTATTTTGTAGTTACTTATGGAGTTTTTGATTTAAAAAAGAACAAATATAGAAATGAAATTATAACTAAACAATCGGTTTATTATTGAGAAAAAAAAATATACATGAACAATATAATTTCTTATGATAATTATCAGTAATATCCTAAAGTATTAAATTTAAATAAATTTAAAAAAAAATTCTCTTTTTTATATATAACCTCCTAATAATTTGTTTTGTAAATTCAAAACTAAAGATTTCCTTTTTTACAATAAACGTTTTAATTAAAAATAAAAATTTAACTTACTTACAATCAAAATATAATTATGAATCAAAAAATTAATTTTCTCCCTTAATGAACAAACAAAATAGATCCCTTATTTTCGAAGAAAAGAAGAAAAATAGAAAAATGTTCCCTTATTTTGGCCGATGTTCACGGTACTGCGTTCAGGGTAAGACTCCCTTCCTCTTCTGTTTTTCTCTTGATCCTGTAGGTCCAGTAGGGCAGCGTTGATTGACCTTGTTGTTACGTAACAAGGAAGTCAGTTTGTTTTAGTCAGTTTAGTTTGAAACGTCAGATTTACATGACAGTAGATCGAAATGTTGTTTAATACCTGTCGTTTTAATCGTGTGTGTTGGTTCTCAGTTAGACTTGTGTGTCGATGGAGCCCAAGGTACGCAGTCTGTATTGGGAGTAGGAGTATTATTGAGGAAGGTTTTGCTTCGAAGGGTGAGTGGTAAATGGGTGTTTTTTCGGCTATTTGCAGGACAAGTGCTTGGAGCTCCTCCGAAGCAATTTTGAGATCGGGATCAAAGGATAGCACCGCTTTTTCGTCGGCAGAGGGTGAAGTTGGGAAATCTGCATGGTTCAGTAGGTAATGCGTAAAAGAATGAGTAACATAGTCAGAGTAGGTCAGTCCTTGGCGAACTCTGAAAAATCGTTCGGTTAGGTAAATTCGAAGGATTAGTTAGAGGGTATTTGGAAGGTTAGGATTTAGTTTGTACTGGAAGCCTTCATGTCACAAGCGTTCAAACGCTTGTACATATGAAGAAAGACTCCCATAACTGTGGAATGTTGGAAGCGAAAGTCAAACTGATGATCTGGGTGAAGTTTAGTTTAAATTTGACAACTGCTTTTTAAGGAGTTTTTTCTTCAAATTCTTTCGACACGATGACAAGTAAACATATGATGAGACTTTTTGAACTGACCAGATTTCAGGGAGAGGATGATTTTCGAATATTTCCAGAATAAGGGAAAATGGGTAGTGTTGAGTATACAATTGTGGAAGTATGTTAGATAAGTATGTTTTTCAATATTTTAAAGTTTCTTTATATACATATACATATTGCACTTATATTTTTTAGTTTATCTTTATTAGAAATATAGTTGAAATACCCGCAAGAAAGTTCTGGACGTCGTGTCCAATCATCAAAATGATTAAGCGTAAGATCAGTTCGTCGTTTGGCTATAATAACTACAAAAATATATATGTAAAATGTACCATAAAATTCTGCCTTAAACTAAAAATAATAATAATTTCATGATTTTTGTGAATATCTTATAACAATGGAAAATCCATATTCCGAAATATCAAACAAAAAATACTGTTTTTACCAACTTTTATTATTAGTATCATGTTATTCTTAATTATACATATACTCAATTAATTATACATGATTTTTTAAAAATGAAATTAATTGAAAAAAATATGGTAATACTGTTGAGTAATCATGAATACAGCATAATTTTATATATAACATTGCTTAATTAACGTATTATTATTTATACTCTATAATTTTGTTATTTTGATTTTTTAACGTACATTGTTATCGAAACGACTTTTCATGGTGTTACAATATTAAAAGCATAAATGTTAAACATGTACAATGTAATATAAATAAATAAATATATTTTATAACGCTATATAATATGTTATTCATTTTAAAATAAATATAATTTAAATAATCAACAAACAACAAAAATTTTTTCCACCTATTTAAACCAAGTAAATACAAAATTATATACATGATTGATTTTTTTTATTTAAAACACAATTTTTACATCAAAGGTTTTCCCTTAAAGTTAATGGATAATATAGCATAGCAATATAATATAGCAAATAAAGAAAGAAGACAGTAATACTGAAAAATTGAGGAGACCTAACGGAAAACAATAATCTTTACAAATTGACACAATTTGAAAAACAAAGTTTCTTGTACTTTTATTCAAACAAATTTTGGATAAATGTAAACTTTTTATCGTTAGGCAAGAAGCTCCGACTGGAACGTAAACACTCAGGTTGTACAATTACTTTCTAATATTTACATTTACAAAAGATTGAACGATATTTTGGATATTCGTATTGAGATGAGATAAAGCCCAATAGTTCCTTTGCGATAAGAACGATGTTCAAAATGTAATAAAATTATTAAATTTTTATCACCACACTTTTACAGCTTATGAGAAACGCTGTTTTTCAATGACAATTATTCTCTGTTGCGTACTGTTCGGATCAGACCAGAAGCTTGGAGAAACTTCTTTACAAAATATCTAAAAATAATAATGGTTGAATTTAAACAAAAACTGTAAATTTTATCAGCGTTGAATTATTTTCCCTTACATCAGAGCAGTAGAAAATCGGAAAGGTCTCCTGGAAGGGGTTGCCTTCTTTTTACCGATTTTCTCATCAATCCAGTCCCTGTAGTAGGACACATCGGTGTAAATGCCAGGAGAGTTTGGACGACCGCAACCTTTACCAAAAGAGGTGACTCCTGAACATAAGAATACATTTTTAACTGTATATTATGTTTGTGATTTTTTTTTCATGAAATTACCTTGAAGTATTTGAACACCTTTCGAAAACCTAACCAAAGGCCCTCCACTATCACCCTGAAATTTAAAAAAATAATATTATACTACCTTCTCTCTGCATCGGATAAAATAAAAAAATGAAATAGTTATGACAAAAAGTCAACACAATGACATCGGTAAAAAAATTTGTATTTTTCCACTATTATTTTCTATCGCAAAAAACATTAACACATGCGCATATACTTACTTTTTATATGTCCATTTTGTATACAACTGAAGAAATAATTAATAAAAAATCAACGTGATAAATAATTCAAATATTGAATAATAATTATCTTACAAGAGCCCGAATTACAAATTTGTAAGAAAACCAAAGAAATCTATAATTTCTTCTCAAATTTTTCTCCTTCCAAAATGTTTATGGTTAAATACATTTTGAAAATCGAATAGAAATGACACTGAATCGACAATACTTTACTGTTTAAAATCCTGTAAACGTACTTTACAGGCTTGGCCTAAGTGTTGACCTAAGTAATAAGTAAGATGTAACAGTAATAGTAATAGTAAATAGTTCACTAGAAATTAGTAAGTTTAAGTCAATTTTTTTGCAAGAGGTAAATTCGAAAGTTGTATTTTTTTCCCTGAATACAAATTCTTGGGAAAATAAAATAATCGATTGTTTTGCCTCAAAATTGGAGGCTACGAACGTGAGATTTTAATTAAACTTTTTGTGATGATACTAGATCAAAAAATATCAGACAGGTGTCTGAGCGTTCTTACCAACAGGCCTTAGGAGTGGAGGTTGTTTTAAGCAAATTTATCTATTGTATTACTTTTAAAAATGTGTTTTCTGCCATTGTTGCGCCGGTATTGCAAGATTATTATACATCATTCAATTTTTTTTTAAATTTAGGATAAGACAAATTACATGCAAGATATATTACATGAAGTTAGACTTTATGCGAAGTTGCAAAAACCAAAAGACGCTTCGAGCAAAGCAGGCCAAAAGAAAAAAATGAACATTTGGGGCTGGATTATCTGATGGCTTTTTTTTTTATCTTCGATGTTCGGTGTTCAATTTAAAAATGCACAACCCCTCAAGATTTTATCCAAATTCAACGTTATTCCAACCCATTCGATTTCATGGTCGGAATGAACAAATAACCTCTTTCCCTTAATTTATCTTTATGTAAGGTATTGTTGAGATAAAAAAAGTCAGTATCACGAGCGGGATTCGAACCCACGACTTTCGGTTAAATGCGCCGCTACAATAGTCAACACCGTACCTTCTCTTAGACGTTTGTGCTTAGTAGACATTTTCAGAAATTTTATCAGAAAAAAGCAATAAATAGGATAGCCTGATGTAGTTGAGATGCATTAATCTCTGTCTATTACCTGGCAGGCGTCGCGTGACCCGTTTTTAACACCAGCGCATATCACTCCAGGAGTGTTTTGTATGTATTTGTAAATTTCTGTGGTTTGGCATTGATTTCTGGTATACATTTTGATGGCAGCCTTCAGGAGTGTGCAAGGTTCACTTGACCCTCCTTCCGTGGTTGCGCCGAAACCGAGGATGTGGGCCGTTTTCGATTTATTAACTCCATTTAAACCTGATAACAATTTTTACAAAAAATAATTCTCCATTGGATTAATTTATCTTTTTATGTTAGGTTTTGATTGAAATGAAAAAGTTAGTGCCACGAGCGGGATTCGAACATCCATCTCAACCTAGAACCTTTCGAATTTTCCCTCCTTTTTGCCATTTTTCAAAATTCGAAAATTCGGAGGTTGTAGGTTGAGATGAGGAGTTGGTGTCCGATTGGATCGAAGTTACGATAGTTCGAGTGGTAGAGCAGCGGCGTATTTAGCCGAAGGTCCTGGGTTCGAATCCCGCTCGTGGCACTAACTTTTTCATTTCAACCAAAACCTTGCATAAAAGAATAAATAATTTGAAAAAAGTGATTTGGTCAATAGATCAGTAAATATAATGGATTCTTCATTGAGTTGAAATATTAGAGTTCTCGTACTTTTCGGTGCAAGGCGTACGGGAGATATCGAGATGTAAAGACGGAGCGTTCCGATGGCCAAGTCGCTTTTATCCGTCGCAGAATTGTAATAAGGATGCATGTCCACTTTTATTATCATGCTGGCACCAGCGTATTCGCGTTTGCATCTGTTCTTCAGATCGAATACAGCGATTAGGTGCGACATCCAATTTCCTCCACTGTTACGTCTAAAACAACGAACAAAAGGCAATCAACTGTCATCAACAGCAACGTATATTTGTCCAGTAATCCTATATTACATAGCCACACTATAAACCAGACGTTTACTACTATTTATAATACTAGTTCATACTCACAAGGGTCGGTAGCAATGCGCTGCTGTCAAAACCTTGTTGGGACTGATTAGAGAAGCCCCACACCAAACTTTCAACGATGAATTCGAAAGAAATTCTCTATAATGCACTAGCGCTGTGAACCAAGAGAATTCGTCTGTACTGGTATCCGTCCCCCCGACGATTTTGCTATCAGGCTGCTCCCCATTGCTATGCGTTAACAACTCCCCTTAAAGTAAAAATGTTTTAAATTAAAAGATTTCCTTCTAATTTAAATTTACATAAATATTTATGTTATATGATGTACCGTCTATTCCAGTTTCATTATGATTATTTGCTTAATAAAAGAATAATAAATGTTGTAATTTTATTAACTGACTTATGAATTTTGTGCAAAAAGAATGTAAACAAGCTTTACATACTGAACCAGGAAATCGATTTGTATACGTAATTATATGACAAGGCAATTTCTAAGGTACCTGGCGTATACTGTATGATTCCCTTGTTCTGTCTTGATGTATGTGGTATGTCTCAATAAAGACTAACATGGCTCTTAACATCTCTATAATATTTAAAAAGTTTTCGTTGAAGCGTAACAGAGAAAAGGACCTACACGAGTTTAATGGTGCAGAAAGAAGAAAGATAGGTGGAGGATAGACGTAACGTTTTAATGGAATTGTGTGGTGTATAGTGACCATTAGTTAATGATTATTTGGAGATCGTGAGATGCGGTCTGGTGTGACGTAGGTTTTAGAATAACATTTTCTTTATCATGCCAACGTTTCGATCTTTATTGAGATCATCTTCAGGGCCTGAGATTTATAAATATTGTTTTTTTTTTGTTTTTTGTTTTTTTTTAAGAAGAAGAAGAAATAAGAAGAAAGCCATAGCCAAGAAGTAATATCAAACTATTTGAACATTCCTGTGAACAGTGGAACCTCACAGATAATTTAGAGAAGTCCAAAATCATGGTGTTTAGTTGAGGGGGTAGGTTGAGTTCTCTGGGTCGCTTTTTTTTCAGGGGCAATCTCATCGAGATTGTAAACGAAGATAAATATTTAGGAATCATATTTACCCCGAGACTCTCTTGGACAAAGCACTTCTCTTGGAAAGCGTCAGTGGCTAAATTAGGTCTAAATAACACATGGTCAGCCTTCCTACTCCAAGTAACTATCCCTATTAAAGTCAAGTATAATATTTTTAAGACGATAAGTCGTGCAATTCCGTGCTATGGCTGTCAAATGTGGGGATACCAGAGGTTTGAAACAATAGAAAAAGTGTAACTTTTTTTGTAAGAAAGTTGTTCACATTGCCATCTGGTACACCAAACTATATATTATATTTAGAGACCAACTTGGATTTAATTTTGGTGTATACACTTAAGCTTCACTACTCCTATATTGTGAAAGTTCTGATGTCTCCCGATACTAGATACACAAAAATAACATCGTTGGCGGTCATAAAGACTAACATGGTTCGCTCACTGGAAATATTTGTTTGAAAAGTACAACTTACCATTCCTCATATCCTTAGACAACCTCTGTGACTGGCATAATCATTTTTCAATTCTTATTAATCAAATTAAAAAACAACATCACGAAGAATGCCGGTCACGTGTCCAAGCATCTACGCATCTCACACTTTGCAAGGAGGTACAAATTTCTCCTGCATTGTTCGACCTATATGAAGATAATTTTGACGGTCTTTGTCTCAATGAGTTGCGATGGCTATTTAAGCTAAAAAGTGAGGTTTTGCACTTAAACTCGGCTATTTGGATCAGAGGGAATTGGGAGTCTGTTCTTTGTGTAATTCGCGCTCTATTGAAACTGTACCCCACTTCGTGGCGGAGTGCTCATCCCTGGGTGAGATTCGGTTGTTGCATCTCGGATGTTTCACTCTCCCCAGGGTTGACCTGTTACGGTTTTTGAGTGTATTGTATAATCTGTTTTTCTGTTCTCTTTCGCATTTTGGCAGTTGTTGTTTCTCCTTTTTTTCCCTTTTATTGCGTAGGCTATCACTTTTATTTTATTTGATTGTGTATTTTTTCGTTTCTGATTGTTTAATCAACGACCTATTATATTATTATTATTAATTTTTAAGGGCGTTTTAACGGCTAAGGTCATTTCACNTACTTTTCCTTCTGGAGATAGATTTTTAATCATGGAATATGTGATTTCATCACTTCCCGGAGAAGATTCTTTCACCGAACTCAGAACAAGATCCAGTTCAGCCAGAGTGAGGGGAGTGTTCCAAACCTCTTCTTCATCGGTTGCAAAATTTAAATCATATCTTTCTTCCTCCTCCTTTATCTGCCTGAAACGCTCCGAATACCAGCTGGAATTAGAAACAGATTCAAAGTATTATTAACTATTCGCTCAGCAATTTGAAAGGGTTCTGTTATGACCATGTCTTCTGCACGAAGTATTATTTTAAATGAGAATCCCATATTTTTATTGTACAGTTCGATTCTGGAGCTTATTTTATGCCACTTTTACGGAAAGGAAAATGTTGACAAGATCGACCATTTCTGAGGTATGCCAGACGGAAGATGCGTGAGAGAGTATGCTTTTTAAAACAATATGGCCCACCCCCCTTTATTCCCAAAACGTAACTTTAGCACACAAAAAAATCTAATACAAACCCCAAGTTAATTTTGGCTAAGAATCGCGTGGAGTAAACAGATTTAACCTAACTTTTTCATCAACCTGGGAAATGATACTAACTTTGTTATTTTAAATAAAAATCTCATATTTTTATTGTACAGTTCGATTCTAGAGCTTATTTTACGTTACTTTTACTGAAAGTGTTTTGACAAGATCGACCATTTCTGATTTATGCCCGACGGAAGACACTATGCTTTTATGCTACGCATGCTTTTTGTAACAAGATGGCCCTCCCCATTTAAAATTTAAAATGCAGGGTTTTTATGCTGTGGCTTTAGTTATTATACTTAGTTATTTTAAATGAGGATCCCATGTTTTTATTCTACAGTTCGATTCTAGTTTTTATTTCATGCCACTTTTACTGGAAGGAAAATTTTGATAGAATCGACGGGGTCATTCGAAATTTAACTAGACGTAACAGGACATCGAAACATTGAAAATTTTAAATATTAGATAAGAAAGCTAAAACAAAATGGGTGATAAATACCAAAATCGGTCAAAACAAGTTAGAACATATTTTTTACTTGCAAAAGAAAAAAAATTGGGCATAACTCAGAAATGGTCGATCCTATCAAAATTTTTCTTTCAGTAAAAGTCCAAAATGAACTTTGGGTTTGTACAAGACCATTTGTTCCTAAAGTTAAGCGTTTCCGAATTAAATGGGTGAACCATAGAAGTTGATATACCCTGTATGTTACGAACTTCTCACTGAGAGCAGGTAATGTGTAAAGGAAGTTGAGGTACTTAATATGCCGCCATCACCCCTCTCAAACCATAAATCGGTGTTAATAACCACCCTAAAAAATTAAGCTATAAATAAATTGATATAGTGTCATTAATTTTAATATTAATTGTTTTCGGGAATTGAGACCATTCTATAACTAGTACAATTTTTTTCGAAAACTTCGCACTTTTTCTCAGATCTTACCATCTAGGTAAAGTAATACTTGTCATATAGGAGGGTTCACCATCCACCTTTGGGCGTTGTGGCCGAGGTCAAATTAAAAAGTACTTAGCTATGCCGGAATTCGAACCCAGAACCGCCCTAACTCCTTGGCCACCGCGGTTTCTTTATTACCCATATTATTATATTTTTATCTCACGTTATAAACAAAAAGAAATCCGCTGATATAACATAATAATCTTCAAATGTATTCCCAACAAAGGCAGGAGTTCAAAGGAGTTAAAAGTTCAAAAATTGCATAAATTACTTAAAATATTTTTTTTTACTCCTAGAATCCATTGGAAAGAACGCTCGGAGACTTTTCTAATATTTTTCGACCTAGGATCACCCTAAACTGTCTAAACTATTACGTTAAAATACGTGGTCTTACGTCCGTCACCCGTCTATAATAATAAAAAAATCAGAAAATTGTATGTTTTATGCTAAAATCGCACCTAACATATATTCCTGAAAGGATATACATCAAATATGTCCTGTGTCAAGATATTTTTGTTAATATGCTTACATTCTACACATTTAACATCATAAAAAACATATAATTTAAAAATTGCTACTCCTCTTCCTTTTATCTTGGTTGTCTTTCGTTCACTCTTACCAATCCTGAAGATCGGAGAAATTTGAATCAGTTCATTATTTCTTTGTCCAAAACAATCAACAGAGAATTTATGTTGTTCGCTAAAGTACCAATTTAACTAACTTAAAATTTAATCCTCTGATTAAATTAAATTATCAGTTTTCTGATTTCTGATCAATTTTTAGAAAAATGACTATTAAATAATGACCTTAAACAGACGACTGGTGACAGTCTTACGAGCATTCTTACATAACGACCGTCCTTCCACAACCAATATGCATTTTTGATTATTCACTTTCGATATTCTCGTCACGGTGCTATTTACGTTATATTAATTATTTCCTCCATTAAACAATGAAATTTTTTTTAATGACTGTAAATTTTGGCGGCAATTTTGACGCCATGATAAAAGGTTTTTATAAAGATCTCTATTTTCTCCGTATTTACAATTAATTAGGGTTTCTTAAATTATACGAGGCTTAATTTATTTTTATGTAAGGCAATACATAAACATTTATGTATAATTTTATTAATAATACGTAATCCGATACCCATGTTTAGTGGGTTGAATTGTAGATTTTTCTAGCAGAATTTGACAAATTCTGAAACTACTTGAGACCAGATTAGTCTATTATTATTATTCCCAGGTACTAATATATTAGATCCCATTTATCGACTTACATAACTCCATATATTTTTAAAACATCATTGTATAAAAAAAATATTAAAAAATTCAGCTTTTGCTAAACAAACGTTTCATTTATTACAACCCCGTGTTGCGGTTCGTGATCATGAAAAATAGTAGATAAATAGGCATAAATTGAGGAATATATTTTAAAAAATGAAGATGCACTGCAAAAAAAATTGCACAATTTGCAAATGCTTCAAGCTGGTTGGCTTCGAATGTACAATTTCAAATATACGATATTTTATAAACGATAGATGGTCGTCCGTATTCCAGTGGAAACTGGATGAAAAAGGCATCAAGCAGTTTAGTACTCATTGTTCTTTTAAAAAACTCGTAATATCTAGCACAAACTTTAAGACGAGCTTTGAATATTTATAAAATGGCAGAGTCAAATTTGATCACAAAATGGGGAAAGATGACAATTTGAAAAAGCGACAACTTTTGATTAAAAAAAAGCCTATTATCAAACTCGGATAAAGGAATTGGGCAAAATCAAAATTTGACGAAAAAATTACATTATCTCAAAATTAAATTATGAACTATAAAATGAACCGATGAAAGAAAAATTTAGTAAACCAAAGGCTTTGGATTTCAATATGTAGTGTAACTTTTGATTCTTTCCAGAGTTTTTTTTTTTTTGTTACCTGGGATCAGCAGAGCGATAAGCAGACCGCACAAACTTTTCATGTCTACTGACTGAATTTGACATTGGGATCAGCATTAATATTATCAGGTCCGACTCCGCCATTTCCAACCGTTCCTCGTTAATTTTGCAACCTGATCGTCCCTGTAATAATTTGTTTTAAAATATTCATTAGCGTCGTAACCGTTTTCGTGAGAGCAAAATGTAAAACAGAGACACCAGAAGAAAAATATAGTTCGAGTCTATAGTTTGAAAAGTACCATAGTCTAATAGTGGAACTTCTTGCTTAGGCGAGCGGAAACTACAAAACTTCATAAACTAATCCAAAAAAAAATTTTTTAATTGTATAAAATATTAAAAAATTATGGTTTATGGTGTTTAGTGTGTTCTTCGAAATTTGTATGAATATTTTTTTAAACGTATGTACTGCCTCTTGGTATTATAATTCTTCGCACAAAAAAACCTTTAAATTATGGTATTATAAATTATATTATAGCCAACGTAAAAATTATTACAAGTTTTGAATAAATGAAAAAAAGTTTAGAGAAATCACATCCGTGTTATTGATTGGGTGAGCTCAGGAATATATTAGGTGTTTTAATTCCGCATAATTTATCATTAGTTCTAGGTTGGAATAATCAGTCTAGCTAAAACGATCTGTGTTTTTCCTTCAAAGTGTCTAGTAAATTTGGCCCGGACTGCAAGGTGAAGCTGCTGTCTGTTCTTGTTGTCTATTCTCTAGCCTGTCTATTCTCATTGTTCACTATTAGGCTAGTTTCGGCATCTTATCGTCTGACAGAACAAAGACACATATTTTATACATGTATAAAAGGAACTTTGCCAGCGCAGACTATATACCCCCAGGGTCTGCACCGACTCAATGCTGTGTATGAAGTTTTTCTGCTGAGCTTCTCGTCATTTTGTTAGAAAGGTATGTTGATGAACAGGTAAATCATGGCAAAACGATTATAGTTTTCTTATTTTTCGAAATATTAATAGATTTGTTGTGGAACTTTACCTCTGCTTACTCTATTACATTTGTGTTGATCTGGCTTTAGTTAGCCTCCTTAATATTAAATAGTTATTCCTCAGTTATATTTGTTATTTGAGCTTATTTTCCCGTGAGCTAGGGCTATGAATAGGAATAAAAGAGGCGGCCACAAAGCCTTCTGCACTTCGATCTGAATAGATCAATTGTGCTCCCCTTGCTTTTTGTAACTCACTGGATAGTTTCAAGTTGTTAATCAGCGTCAATAGCTTAGGCAGCGGTTCCTTAGTGTGGGATCTTGCTTGCGATTTTTCCTGTCCTAGTTGCAAGAACCTGCACCTACATAGACGTTGACAGAAAGATAAAATGTGTTCTGCGGTCACCACCTCTTCCTGGCAGTATCTGCATAGTGGTTCTTCTCTCTGTACTCCTATCCGGTGCTTGTGCTTTCTTAAGTGGCAATGTCCTGTCAGGAGTACAACCAGAATCTTGGTTCGGTTGGGTTGCCATCCAGTAATTCCTTTGTAAGTTTTGCGGATGGTCCTTTTATGAATCTCTTCGTGTGCCTTATGCCTGTGGTATTGTTCCATCAGGTTTTGCACTCATTAAGGATCAATTTTAAGATGTATCCTCTTTTGTGGCAGGATGCTAACCACAGTAGGGTTCAGGACCTAGAGTTGCCAGTGGACCATGTTTGTCAACCTTTTCGTTCCCTCTATACCCCGAGTGCCCAGAGACCCATGCTAGGTCAGGCCATTTGTGTCTATCAGGCCCTCCATGGCATTTCAAACACTCACCTCGCAATAGGTTAGTGCTGCCTGAATGTCAGAGAAGATGGCTATTTACCGGGAATGTATTCCTAACCTTTTTATTTTCCTGGCGCAGTGTTCAATCCCTACGATTTCAGACTGGAAAACTGTAGCATATTTACGTAGGCTTATCTTCAGTTCGGTCTGCGATTCATCTCGAAGACTCCAGCTACCGTGCCCTTGTCGGTTTTGGAGCCGTTATTGTACCAGTTTGCCTTTGGCGATGTTCCTTTGGCCCATTCTTCCTGTTCATGTATCAGTATTTTGTAGTTTTTAGTAAAATTGTATTTTGAAGTAGTGGCATCGATTGGTATGTATAATGTGGCATCTGTCTGTATCTCCTCCCTCAGTTTCCATTGTTTATTTACATGGCTTATCCTTGCAGATGGTCCATTTATGAGCCTGTGGGCCTCTGCTCTGGCTTCTCCTTGAATTAACATATGAAGTGGTGGAAGGTTCAACACACTTCCTGGGCCGCAGTTGACGTTGTGCACATGGCACCAGACAGGCTTGTCTTTGGGTGCCACTTATTAGCCTGATAGCTTTGACCATGGTCCACCACACCACCTGGATTGGGATATACATTGGGCTTAAGATGCAGATGTATAGTCATAGGGTCATTTTGGGGTTTAAACCCCAGTTTTTGGCGCAGAGCCTTCTGCTCCTCTCCCAGGCAATTCTCAGGATGTTTCAGATTCTCTGGATGGTTTTAGTCAAATGTGGATTCCCATGTGAGGCGCTGGTCTAATATGATCCCTAGATATTTGGCCTCCTTGGAAAATGGGATCAGGGTCCCATTTAGACTTGGAGTGTGTAGGATTCCTACAGTCCTCTTCCTGGTGAATGGAATCATTATGGTTTTGTGGGGGGAGGGGGATTAATAACCTCCACCTTTTTGCACCACCTGTCAACAAGATTGAGGGCTCATTGTGTACGATCCATTACATTGTCTGCAGGGCGGCCCATTACTATTACGGCAAGGTAGTCTGCATAGCCTAGACAGTAGAATCCTTTTTGTTCCAGCATTTGTAAGTCGTCTCCCAGCGTCGTCCAGAATAGAGGTGAGAGGACACCGCCTTGTGGGCATCCCATGGCTGTCCAGTGGATGGCATCCAGTTCCTTAGGCAGCAATGGTGAAGAGGTGAAAGAATAAATAACCTACCTGTGGCCTGACCGCCCCACGAGTCTAAACCTAAAGGTCAGAAGAGTGCTCTGCGTTAACTTAGTGGTTTTTTTATCTTTTGCCCTTCCTCGCAAGCCAGCTTCCCTCAAGACACGACGAACTCCTTCAGCACTGATGTCGATATTATCAAATCACCAAAGATTCCGTTGAATTTGTACGAATTGAGCGAATAATAGCGTGATTGAATGCATCTGAGAATTTTGGATTACGACTATATGCAGCTTTATTCTTTTCAATCCCTCTCACATGGATTGCATTCATTTTTTGAATATTACAAATAGTCCTTCCGTATTTGTTACACAAAGATGCTCCTTTTTGATGCTCAAACAGATTTGCTTTCCGAATATTTTCCCATATCGGCTTCACTATAAAATCATTAGAATTCAAATATTCAATTACATGCCATTTTCAAAATTGTCAACAAAAACAAAATGGCTTCTTACTTACTGATTTAGTTACTGCCGGGATTTTTAGTTGTAACCAATGTTGAATTTATATAATTGTTAACTGTTCGATTGAAACTCACAAAATCGATCAAGTGGTTTTGTGAGACTTATTAAAAGGACTGAGTGTATTATGTTTACAATGCAGGCAGGAAAGAGTTGAGGATTGCAATAAAAGAATAAAGGTTTTCTGAGAAGTTATAAATAAAAAATCTAGTGGGATCAAAACAGCCACCCCTCGCTAGCCATGCCACTAGAAGAATGTATCTAATTTTTTTTTTTTTTTTTTTTTTTTTTTTTTTTAAATATGACATGTACGATGTTCGTGGGTTGCTGCCCACCTTGGGTTCGATATCACGTTTTTCAACCTCGCAAAAGAAATTCACTAACGAAATTTCTAAAAATGTAAAAGTGACTATTTCCTTCGAATACTTATAATATAAAGCAACTTTGGTGAAATCCTCGAAAATTTTGATGGAAAAGTAATTGCACGAGCCACAATTGAGTATTTCCAAAAAAAAATAAAAAAAGTGGGGTTTTGCCATTTGTTATTCTTCGAGTGGCTAATGTGTATTTGGAAGTGCAACTTGTTCAACTGAAATGTAGTTCTCTTGTGTAAAATTTAATGTAGTTTGCAAAATGAAGGTCAGATTGTATTTTAATGGCGTTAAAAAATGACGATTTTATGTTTAAAAAAATCTGAGTGATTTTAGACTAACCATAAAATGTTAATATAAGATAGAAACCTCGTTCGGGGGGCATTGCACTACGTTTTATTTACTGAATCCACCAATCTTTTTAACCCTCGGGTTTTTTTGGGTTTTTTTTTCGACGGCCACCGACACCCCACCAAAAAATAATGTGAAAATAAAAAACTGTCTAATAAAAATATTGCTTAATTAAATAGTGACCTCGCCTGGACGCATGCCACCGACGCCCCCATTAATAATTTTGTGTTAACAGATGACGTTGGGAACGCAATTGGTTAAAATGACGTAGCCTGACAGGTTCGTATAAATCCCGAATACAATGGCCAATTCGGTTAGTAGACATGAAAACTCTGTGCGCAATTTTTCTCGCCCTGCTGTTGCCTGGTAAAGGAAAAAAATTCTTAACTGTATTCGTACATTCCTTAGAAAGACAAATACTTCTGCAATTGACATGACTATCCTTAATTTTATACTTCACAGCTATACCCTTAATTTTAAGTTATTATCCAATTAAATCGGAAAATTGAGCTAATTTAATTTTTAATTGAAGAGGGGCTGTTAACTGAGAAGTGTGGAGAGTCGGTGGCAAGCAGAATCGTCGGTGGGACCGTAGCGAATACGAGACAATTTCCATACTACACAGGTCTAATACGCAAGAAGTACTTCAATCGTACGTTGTCCCTTGCTTGTGGAGGATCTTTAATTAGATCAAATAAAGTTTTGACGGCCGCTCACTGCTACGACAAGTCGTAAGTGAAAATTAATTAAAACGTAATAACAATAACAAAAAATGCTGGAAGCAGTTAGAAAATAGCTAGAATAACGTCTGCCCATATAAAATAAGAATTATCTGTTGAAAATTACAATCAAGAATTTTACTCGTATCGTAATTGAAAACTAATTCATACGTAAGATTAGAACAAGAAATATAAATAAAAGGGGTACATGTAAAATAAAAAGTATCTGTTCGAAATTAAACTTAAGAATAGTTGCAAGTACATATTTCATTCGGTTATTTGGGGTTTTAGGGAACCTAATTGGATGGATGAGTATGTAGCAGTATTCGACATACGGGACAGATGCAAACGCCAGTATGATGGTTTCAGCGACATAACATATGTCGACATGCATCCTCTGTGGAACACAAATACGAAAAATTGTGACTTAGCCATCGCTACGCTCCAGGAAAACGTTAAGTACGACACAATATGTCTTTCGCCGAAAGGTACAAATTTAAAATAAAATTTTATCGTTGTAATAAAAAAGACAAGTCGTCATAATTTTCGTACTGTTTGAAAGGATACAACAAATATCCGACGTCGGCCTACGTAGTTGGTCTCGGTTTAACAGAAGAAGAAGGCACGACAGAAAACGTTTGTAACTTGTTGCAAATCAACATCCAGATCTTTACAAGGGAAACATGCATGGGAACAGTTATGGCGGGAATCTTGCAACGTCGCACTGGTATCCTATGTGCGGGCGTGTTATCCGGCCAGTTCGACTCCTGTCAGGTGACAAACAGTATTTACTTCCCTTTTCCTTTTATGTCATGCTTCCTTGAATCATAAAAACAAAATTTTATGACGAATTCAATAATTAGTTTGTGTAAATTATAAATTGAGGCACATCAGCTCTCAAAATGTGAGGAACGCGTTGAGGTGTTTTATCCTCATGTCCAGTTACAAGTTCTTTCTTGTCAGACCAGTTGTAATGTAACTTCATAAAAATAAGTTTTTCAAAGTGAAAAAAAAGTTAAATAACCGATAACCCGATCAGTTAGTGACCAAATCTTCCCAATCAACGAAATGCTACAGTTCGTCGTATTATTTACTTACTTAACAAGCTTTTAATCCTAAATTAAACAATTTAATTTGATTTTACATTACTGTATTTGCAGGTAAATAAATCTATTTATCATGTATTTATCATTAATTTTATAATAATTTTGATAAATAGAATATTTTGTTATCTTTGAAAAATTAAGATGTCTTTTTAAACCTTTTTAAAAAGATAGTTCCTACTCACAGTAACTTTTTAAGTTCTTAATATTTAATTTAGCAAGAACGAATTTTTGTGTTAGGTTTTATTTCAAACATTGGGAATTGTAGATATTGATTGATAGTTGATTGATTAGTTGATTTTTGAGCATGAAATTCTTAATTTATAATAAAGATTTAAGTGTTCTTGTTTACTGACTGATTTTAAGTAGTTGGAGGTAGTAGTATAATTAATTGCGTTATAATCCATTACTGCTTTGACTATCAAATTAATAGAAAAGATAAATGGTGGAGTAAGTGTGTCTCACTTTTTATCTTTTCTATTTAAAAGATATTTTCTTTTCAGAAATGTTTTGACTTTTATCGACCTCTTCAGTACAATATATGTACATGATTTCATAAAACATTTTTCAGGGTGATAGTGGAGGACCTTTAATAAGGGTTGAGAGGGGCGTTCATTATCTGCAAGGTAACTTCTAGTACAAATATATATTTAATAAATCAATATACATAAATATTTTTTACTAAACAAGTGATATAACGAAAGTTTACCATTGCCTGTCGTATAGGAGTTGTCTCTACCGGTGCCGGATGTGGAAGAGCAAATTCACCGGGTATATATGCAGATGTAACCGCCCACAGGATTTGGATTGACCGAGTACTTAAAAAAACACCTCAAACCAATCCAGCGCCTGGGTATCAGTATGGTCCTAGGACAACGTAAATACTACAGACAATTAATATCAGTAATGCTTGACTATAATGCCTATAATGGTGTCTTCCATAGTGTTAGGCCATCCAGGGGTCGGACACCGTCATCCGCAAGGCGGACATCGCCATCCAGGAGTAGGGTACCGCAATCCGGAAATTTGGGATTCTCATCCTCATCCGACAGTTGGCCACAAATAAGTTCTTCTAGAACTTTTAGCAATTATACATCGTATTCTAATTAATTCTAGGAAACATCCAAAACCAAACAGGTACTTTTTCCTACAAACCAGGTGTAAAATGTTGATTTTTTATTCGTTTGTATTTTCTACTTTTCTTTCAGAACCATCCTAGACTTATAAACTAAACACTAGAATCTTAACGCACCGAAAGAAGCTTTTCCACAATTTCTTCTTTAATAGCTGCTTTTTAATAATTGTACAATAAAAGATTATCGCCCATCAATTTTTAATAAGAAATCATGATGTAGAAGTTTCATTACTAAGTATATCACAGGTAATTTTTCCTTATTGCTTGTCCAAAAGGTCCAGCTAGCATCAAGTAACTAATTGTAAGATGTTGAAACGACAAAATTTCACAATTTAGAAAACGAAAAACATAAAATTGTACTGAAGTGTAAAAATCGTACTAATCTTCTTTGGCAAGATTACTTTAATATTTTATGTATTATGGTTTGAGTTTAATGCCAAATTTAATACAGTTTCATTAGTAAGTTTGGTAGTTCTTTTATACCAAGCCCAAAACTACTTAAAAATCAGTGAATACAAAATAAATAGTAAAAGTTTAACACAACATTTCAAAATGTAAGATTTTCAATGTTCGGGCGGTTTAACTCGTAGATAACAATTTATAAAAACAGGCACAAACACCAACCTTGTTGACACAAGTGGCTTTATTGTGTGGTTAAAAATATTTGTATAATCTGTTTTCGCAGCCTGTCCCACACACCGAGTATAAAAACTTGGAAATTACTAATAAATTATCATGAACAATGATCGGGCAAATATTTTACTATCTCCGGTAATCTTGGCCCGCCTATTATTTCTCGAATTATTTATTTTACGTTACATTTGTATTGCACATAAAAATTGTAACTTGAGATCCGTACTACCTAATTTCCTCCCGGTGTTTGTTCACAATCTCATAACCATTTTATAGCAAAAAAGCATAACATACGTCGAGAACGCATTGATGTTACACACCATACCGAGAAGAAATACATACATGAAAATTCGATATTTAGACTCTTATCCCTTTTAGACCTCGTATTTATCCAAAATGGGCGAAAAATTTAAGGGGTTGAAAGCCGTCCAAAAAAAATTTCATGAGTCGTTAGCATTGGCATTACTAAGAGAGAAAGTATTTTTCCCTTATGAATACATTACAACATAGGAATAACTAAATGAAACGCAGTTATCCCAATAGTTAAATTTAATCTTAGCTAATTAATTTAATTAACTTGTTAAAGGTAGATTTTTTATTCCTTTACTTAAAAGTGGAAACAAAAATATATTAACGAAATGTCATCCTATTTCTATTCTTTCTCAAATTCCTAAGCTTTTTGAAAAAAATCATTACTTATACATCATCCGTACATCATCTATTTTCTAACAATTCTTGCTAGTTTTATTAAATATCTCTCCACTTTAACAAATCATCTTACTTTTAACAGTTTCCGATCAACACAAATTGAACGTGGTAATCAGTCACCTACACAGATTTTTCTAAGGCATTTGATAGAGCCGACCACAACCTGTTATTGTTAAAGGTTAAATCTTGGGATTTCTGGACGATTTTTGTCCTGCATTTCTAGATATAGAATTAACCGTGAATAATTGTACTAGGCAGCTACCAGTCTCAAATAATAAAGGTTTCTTCTGGTGTTCCCCAAGGGGCCGTCTTTCTCCAATCTTATTTAATATTTCCATCAACGACTCTCCTTCTATTCTACAATACTCAACTGTTCTTCTCTTTGCTGATGGCTTAAATTTTTTATGTCTGTTACTTCTAATGATGACCACTTACTTCTTCAATCTGACTTGAATAGTCTATATCACTTATCTCTAATGGTACACCTGTTTATTCATAACACTGTCCTTCTCTTAAAAACTACCACTAAAAATCCTGGTGTTATTTTTGACCCCAAATAAAATTTTATTGCCCTCTAGTTTAAAACTGCTGGATTAATTATCTCGTTACTTTACGGATCTCAACTTGGCCATTCTTTACATATCGCTGGTAAGATCAGTGCTAGGATACTGTTCTCCTGTTGAAACATTACTAAATCTTTTCATAAACTTCCATCTGTTCAGTTTAAATTTCTCAGAATTCTTTCCTATAAAATAGGACTATATAATATAATACTGTAATAGAAAATATTACAGACAATAAACAATTTGAACAATAATTTACTTCTTCTATGAAAAAAATAAAAAATTCTTAATTATATTAGTTTTAAAATACAGTTTGGTGCATCCTGAGAAATTACCAAAGTACGAAAGCAACGGGACTTTACAACCTTCAATATCTTTATCTTGTAACTTTTATAAATACATTAATTTTAACCATTGACACTTGTGTTTCGTACTATAGGCAATAATGAAGAATTATTGAGTGAATTGAATTTATGTGCATAATAAGACGGCAGGTTTATTAGATAAGGTTAAATAACGAGTACAGCACTTTAAGCACAAATATACATAGATAAAGTATTGTATAAATAAATATGTAAATAGTAGAATAAATATATGAATAATTATATATATATATTAAACTATGTATATAAGATTTATTAGGTTTCGTGGTCCGATTGACCAAATAAATTCTATTCAATTAGTTAATCTTTAATTAAGGTTTTGGTTGAGATAAAAAAGTCAGTGTCACATGCGGGATTCGAACCCACGATCTTCAGCTAAATACGACGCTGCTCTACCACTTGAGCTATCGTGACTTCGATCGGACACCACCTACAACCTTTCAAATTTTCCCTCCTTTTTGCCATTTTTCAAATGTGGTGTAATCAATTTGATTGTCGGCGACAAATGAAATGGCCACGGAGAGCTTTACTGAAGATATACTTCATTTAACTCATTAAATTCACTAGTTTTCGTGGTCCGCTTGACCAATTAGTATTTTTCAATTAATTAAGGTTTTTAGTTGAGATAAATAATAAGTAAGTTAATAAATAATAAGATAAAGTCGCCGAGAATCAAATAGATTACACGACATTTGAAAAGTGGCAAAAAGGAGGGAAAAGTCAAAAGGTGGGGCTTAGATGGGAAGTTAGTGGCCGTGTGGATCGAAGTCATGATTGCTCAAGTGGGGCAGCGGCGTATTTAGCCGAAGGTCGTAGGTTCGAATCCCGCTTGTGGCATTGACGTTTTTATCTCAACCAAAACCTTAATTACAGGTTAATATGTATATAACTTATCATTATTATAAATATTATTAAAATATTAGTTTTAACTCTATGTACGTTATGTTTTCGGGAAAATACTTTTAATTCTTTTGTTTCCACCGAAATGAGTTTTGTTTTTGTCTCGTGTATCCAAGAACGTTTGGCTTTATCATGCATGGTCCATCAGGCAGAGATCACTAGTCTTAGTAAGTTGTTTTGGCTTATTTCTATCTTTATTAGATTAGTTTTGCAGGTAAAACTCCATACTGGGTAGACATACAATAGAATTGGCTTTGTAATTGCATTGTAAATGCGTTTCTTGTTTAAAAGGACATTCCAGATTCTCTTCAGAGTAGCGGTAAGAGTAGTCCAATAACTATTATTGGACTACTCTTATGATGTATTCTGCCTTATTAATCCTGTTTACTATATGATGGCCAAAATTGAGTTTTCTGTCCATAATTAATTCTAGGAACGTGACCTTTTCGGACCTTGGGATAGAAATTCCATTTATGGTAATTGCTTCTTTTATTTGGGAGCGCCTCTTTGTGAACAGGATTGCTTCGCATTTGGGAATATTAAAACCTCCCTAGAGACACGTAGGCTTTGATCTGATTAATTCTCTCTTTTTTTAAATTAACTACTATTAATTAATTAATGTTTTGGTGTAAGGTTTTGGATGAAATGAAAAAAAATTCGAACCCACGACCTTTGGCTCAATACGCCGCTGCTCTAACCACTTGAGCCATCGTGACTTCGATCCACTTCATTTCAACCAATACTTTACATAAAGATTAATTACTTGAAAGATGTTATTTGGCCAATCCGACCACGAAATCGAATGTGTTTAATAAGCAAAATGAAGTATATCTTCACTAAAGCTCTCTCTCGGCCTTTTCATTTGTCGTCGAGTATACAGCTCCATTTGGAGTGCCTGAAATTTGAGGGGGCATTCACGACCGCTCCACAGCTAGTCGCTCCGAACGTCAACCAGTGAATTACCTTCTCAAAATGGTTGACGATCTCTTGTGCTACTCTTCTATTTATTTACATATTAAAAGCAAAAAATCGAAGAGAAAATGGTGTAAGAAGTCGCTCCTGAACAGAAACCGTAATACCCACATCAATTTGATGAAAGATCTTTCCCTTGAACGTGCTGATTGGAGGAACTATTTAAGGATGGATGAAACGTCTTATTTATTCATTATATTTAGTGTTCTATTGACCAAATTACTTATTTCAATTATTTAATCTTTTTTGTAAGGTTTTGGTTGCTAGTGCCACGAGCGGGATCTGAATCCATGGCCTTCGGCTAAATACGCCGCTCCTCTACCACTTGAGCTATCGTGACTTCGATCCTCTCCGACACCAAAAAATGGCAAAAAGAGAGAAAATTCGAAAGGTTGTAGGTTGAGATGGGGAGTTGGTGCCCGAGTGGATCGAACTATCGCAGTCAGGATAGCTCAAGTGGTTAGCGCAGCGGCGTATTTAGCCGAATGTCGTGGATTCGAATCCCCTCGTGACACTATTTTTCATTTCAACCAAAACCTTACAAAATAAAGATTAACGTCTTTTTTATATTTACTCCATCTTGTTACCCCCTTGATTAGAAAACAAAAGACAGTCATGAGAGAAATCATCACTACATGAAAGGTTGGCAACCACCTTGGCCACCTTTCACGATAGCTCCTAGCAGTCAAACGGAGCGACGCCGTTCCAAAAAACACGTCAATGGCAAAACTGAACTGGCGTGCACGGCTGTGCCGAATATTCGACCGGTCCAAACTCCATCGCGCCATTCCAAATATCTACGGCGCGACGACGGCATGGCGCGTTCGTGAATGGGAAAACCTGGCTTGAACGGTGGAATATTGGAGTGCTGGCTTGGTCGTGAATACCCGCGTTTTTTTAGCGCAGTTTCCGTCTTTCTGTCACTGAGCAAACATATCCGTCGTACATTCTCAAAAAGTCAAAAACGTTTATTCTTTATTGGTAATGACATCCAATCGAGATGTTATTGTTGAGGTGATTGAATTGTATGAAAGTTTACCATGATTATGGAAAGTGGTGGACAACGATTACCACGATATTAATAAAAGAAATTCGGTCCGCAAGCAGTTGGTCGACAAAACAAAGGATACAAATGCAACGAGCGATGCAGTATTGATAACCCCTAAGCGCTGAGCAGCTAATCGTAGTAGAGAACTTAAGTGAACTTAGAGAACGTAATATGGCTGCTAATCTTTCATGAAGAGTGATGATTTCTCTCATGACTGTCTTTTGTTTTCTAATCAAGGGGGTAACAAGCTGGAGTA